TTGGAAACCGAGGGGTCTTGGATTGGTCGGAGAAGACCAAGAGAAATTCGGATGATTTTGCCACCCCAGGTTATAAGTGTTGCTATATGGGTTGTTCCCCCTAGCATTTGCTATGAAACTCACTTGCTCCTCTGGTGTGCTTAATTCCTTCATCATTTGATAATCCGAAATCTCGTGGTTGGTACTTGAACACCAATCACACGCTATTACCTGCCTCTTGCCATGCTTCTTGTCCTCTAGGTGTGCCTCAATCAAACGATCAATCTTGGCTTCAAGGGGGGGACTCGCTCCTACACTTTGCATTCCCCTTGCGGTGCTTCTCTTTCCTCTTCTCGTCAAGCCCCAATCATACCCTTTACTTTCCATGTCTTCAAGCAACTCGGTCACTTGGAGTGGAGTCATGTTCATCAATTTCCCTTGACATAAGGAGCCAATGGGGATCTTGTCATCTTGGTGGAAACCGCCATAGAAGGTCTCAATCCGGAATTTCTCCTCGAATCCATGAAGTGGGCATTGGAGGAAGTAATCGGAGTACCTTTCCCAAGCATCCCTCAATGTCTCATCTTCCTCTTGCTCAAAGTGGTGACCTTCTTGCGCCACTCCGCGTCTTTGAAGGTGGGCAATACCGAGTCATAAAATTGTTGAGCATGTCATCCCATGAAGTGATCGAGAGACCCGGCCTATTATTGAGCCACCGAGACGCATTCTCCGCAAGAGAGTAGGGGAATAACCTCAAATTCAAAGTGTCCTCGAGGACGCCATTGATCTTCAAACTCCCCGCAAGCTCAATGAACTTCTGAACATTCTCCCTTGGAGACTCTTTGTTAAGCCCATGATCTCAAAATTGTTAGCGGCCACGGGCGGATGTCGAATGGCGGGTTGAATATCTGCCGACCTTTGAGTCATGTAATAGTCCATGGTCCTCGGTTTCTCCTCCGCAACTGCGCCTCCTTTAGCAGGTTGATTAGCCGCGATCTCGGCTTCACTTCCCTCCTCTTTGGAATCAACCCCTTCCTCAACTTCAACTTCCTTTTCTATCCTCCTTCTTGCCTCCGCTAGTTCCCTCTCATGAGCCAAGTATCAAAGAGTGCGGTTGAGATCCTCGTCCAGTGGTGCCAAAGGTATAGAATTACTCTGGGTCGTACACCTCCCTACACACAGTCAAAAGAACCACAACAGTTCTAGCACAAACAAGATTTGCACACACAAAAATGAAAATGAAAGCCCGATTAAGGCCCAAGCATAAACCTTAATCGGGTGCAGTAAAGGGCAAGTATGTTTAAATATCGACTCGAGCAGGTTCATGTACCCCTACTTTGACTGTTTATAACATTATCTAGCGGTTGGTTTTTGGTGAAAACAACAATCTATAGTGAAAGCGGTTGCAAAAGTAAAACGATTTGACATTAATTGAGAAGGATTCACCAGGGTGTTGCTCCCCCTAGCTAGCAATTACGTCTTGATGGATCTAATGAGCGTGTGTGGTGAGGGGGTTGTAAACCGTAGGGAAGCGTAACAAGTAGCCAATGACACCCTTTTAGTCTCTAGGTCAAGGGAAGGGGATACGATCAAAGCCACCAACGTGATTCTCTCGACCTATTGACTAAGGATTGGTTAGACTTCACCCTCGAATCAGAGTTTGGACGGCCACCCACAACCAAACCCTAGGTGCTAATATGAAATAGGAGGTTTTTCTTGCATTAACCTAACTAGGAGACAATGAATTTCCTAAGAAAACCCAGCATTCAAGCCTCTTGCAAAGAAAGCAAGGGGGTTTCTCACTAGCTAGATTAGAATGACAATAAGATTGATAGGCTTTCACACAACACAATCATTCATGAATAATACCTCCACATTCACATTAAACACAAGTACACATAGAAATCATTCAATCCATACAAGCATTCACATAATTGTAGCTAGGGTTTACAAACACCCAAGTGAAAGAGATGCTAGGAGAGAAGAAGGAAACCCATCAAAGAGGGACTACTCCATGTTAGGAGAAGGGAAAACACAAGAGAGAAGAAGAAAAACCATCAAAGAGATGCTAGCCTTGCTCCTTGTGATGAAGAGATCTCCTTTGGGAGAGGAATTCCCAATTCCTTGCTTGAATATGGAACCCTAGCTTCTTCTCTTCTTTGGTTCATCACTTTCTCACTCTAGAAATCTCAAGAAGAAGAAGTTTCTCACACTAGGTCTCTCCCATTTTCTCCTTTGGCTCAACCTCCTTTATATACCCAGATCGGGCTCAATTCATGGTCTTAGTTCACGGCCATGAACTGAAAGCCCAGATCGTGAACCAACGATGAAACGTGCCGCATCACTTATCTCTGTTCACGGACGGAGGTCAGAGTTCACGGTCTTACAACCGTGAACTCACTTGTGTCCAGTGAAAACCCTTTGTGCTCTGGATGCCTGGCACTTCACGGGGATCGCCTCCAGTTCACGGTCTTAGTGACCGTGAACTCACAGCCCAAATCGTGACCTGTTGCTGTTTCCACTATTTGAATTGATCTTTCGCCCTTTTGTCCAAATTTTGACACCGGGGTTGGTTCCACCTGCATAAGTCTGAAAAACACCAAAACAAGGCACAACCCGGTGTAAAACCAAACCTCCCGGAGTAAAAATGATTCAAACGACTAAGCAAACTGGGGGTAAAAAGTGTACAAATAAGCCCGAATCAGCAGGCTACTCCAAACACGGTCTTGCTTGTCCAGCAGCTGCATGTGCTTCTATTGTCGAGAGGAATTATGAAGAAAGTGGGAAGCATGATCGTGTTCATGGGTGTTGTAAACATGACTGTGTTTCCTCAAGCCACGATCGTGTTTTGTATGCCGAGAGGAATTGTGGGCAAAGGCAAAACCACAGGCAGAAGCAAAACACGGGCACCGCCCGTGTTTGTGAGTGCTTGTGTTTTCCCCTTCCTAAAGAGACTTAGTGAAACAAGGGCAAGAGGGAAGCAAAGAAACATGATCGTGTTTGTTCCTCAAGTGCCAGTGTTTCTGCCTTTCCTAGATTAAGTGGAGTGTTTGACCAGGTCAAAACACGGGCATATGCAAAACACGGGTGTGTTCACGACTGTATTTGCCCAGTTTTGTGGTAAATTGGCATATTCGAGCTTTTTGCAAAGGATCCGACTTTTGGGAGAAAAAACTGAGTTCTGGAGAGAGAAAGTGGCGATGAACAAGTCCTTTGAGCTATTTGGAGCTGAGATATCACCATTGAAGCCCGTATTTCATTCCTAGGAGTGAAGATTGACATCCTAGAGCAAATTATACACATCATTATGAGTATGACTACTCTGATTTTGGGTTCCCTCTCTATCTCTATGGAGTAAACCTCATTCTCACTTGTGTATGAAGAACACTAGTTTCATGTGTTAGGAATCTTGTTTGTGTGAACCTTTGGATGTTAAATAATATGAAAAAAACGAGTAAATAATATGAAGAAGACCAACTTCATTCTATCTCGAGAGAAGATGAAATCAGTGACTACAATCACTGGTGCCGACTGTAGGAGCAACCTGTCGAACTGGAAGATTCTGACTTCTTTACCATCGAAGTTAATTAGATTCAATGGTTCTTCTGTATCAAACGAAGTGGGACAGGAGATCACCCCAACGATATTGTGGGTTTGAGCAGCCACGATGTCGCTGCTATTCTGCCCACAAGAGAAGAAAATGATGGCCAGAGACATAGGCGAGCGATTTCTGGCTTGTATGGCACTGAAGCAAGGTCCACTAACTATGAGTCTTGTCCCGGTTAACAGCGTGAAATGGGAAGGTATGACGCGGGTGATCGATTCCATTTATTTCTTTATTTCTCATGTTTGTAAATTAAAATATTCTAAAAAAATTAAAATAAAAAAATTTAATTTTTATTGTCTATGTAGTTTATAATATTTTTTATAATATTTTTCTTTTATATTTTGTATATTTTATTTTTGGTTAATTGTAAAATGAAAAATAATAGAAATTAGAAAAATAATTTGAATTTTTTTAATGATTTTTTGGCTGACGAGGCAATGACATGGCGTGTTGACTAAAGGTCAACTTTGTTGACCGTTCAAATTGACGGTCAAATCATGTGTCGAGCCAATTGAGTGTATATGTCGCATATTTAGGCCAGGATGTTAATTTCTAAAACTACGGGCCAAAGTTGATTATATGTATATAGTTTGGACTAAAATAAGGTATTAACCCTTTATATTTTCATTATTTTTAATTTTCCTTCACTCATATTAATTTCTTATTCTCTTTTTATCCTTTGCTTTCACCATTTTTATTATTCTTTCATGTTATATGTTTAAATAAATTTTCTCATTTCCCATTTCTCATTTTTTACTTAAATCTCATCTTCTTTTAAATTTTATTTATTATATGTCATTTGACATTTATCTTGTTTCGATTCCTACATATATTTTATTAGATTTTGAGCTATGGAAATAAATAGTAAATTTTCTAGTTCATCCACTCAAAATATTTAAAACGTGTATCTCATACAAAAATTACTTATTTGGTTTTACTTAAGTAACAAAATATCAATGTTGTCAAAACTGAACCGGAGCATGACCCGATAACATAAATGGCTCGCACTTTAGTGATCCAATCGGTTGGGCCGTTAAAAAATCATTAGAGAACTTATACCTTATAAACAACAATATCATAAGTAGAAGACACATAAGATAGTAATATAAAAATCTAATGACTAAAATGAAATTTACTTTGTAGGTACCACTTAGTAATTTTGTAATATTTATATATATATATATAGGTGACTACTTCGGTGCACTCACTTTTTTGGGTGCATTCAATGCACTCAAATCTAAAAGTGGTCATAATACATCGAATTTTGAACTTTAATTGGTAGTATTAGTCTAATATGATGATATAACATAAAATCACAACTAATCAATCTATTACCCTAACCCCTTAACCTTCAATTTTGAGTTCCAACCCAAAATCCTAAATTATAAACCTAAACCCTAACCCTAAATCACTAAATCCTAAATGCTTCAAATTAAAGTAAATCTTGAATGAGTTTTTTTGCAAATTCATGTGTTTCTTGTTCATAGCATCATAAACGACGGTTGATCTTGTTTTGACATGAATCACATGCTCGGAATGGCGATTATGAGGTGAGTGCATTGAATGCACCTAAAAAATGAGTGCACTGAGACGCCACCATATATATATATATATATATATATATATATATATATATATATGTGGTGGCTTCTACGGTACCCCGGGTGAAATTCAGGGTACCGTATACCTTGAGTATGAAAACACTATCTAGACCTCGAAATGGAAAAAACTTTGGGCTTGGTACTATACCCTAATCCTTATTGAGTGAACCCTAGGTCCTAATTATCTAAATCATAAACTATAAACCCTAAGACGGAGCATTCATTTTTTTGCCTATATTTGGACGAATCATAGCCGTCGATTATTGTTTCTAATTAAATTGATATTGGAGTATAAGATTTAGGGAGCTAAGACCTAGATTTTGATCTTTAAGGGTTAGAGTATAATATCATGTCCAAATGATCAATCAATTCAAGGTCTGGATAGCGTTTTCATACTCAAGGTATGCGGTACACCGGATTTTACTCGGGGTACCGTAGAACTCGCCATATATATATGGTGACTAAATCCTACATCATACATATATTGGTGTATGTCGTACAGCAGCATTTTCCACAGTACACGTCCATCTCAACGGTCGGCGTTAATGCGGGTTCTTTTTTGTGTGAATAAAAAATAAACTAGCTCATTTATGTTGGTCGTTGAGATGCACTCAAACGGTGGAGATTGTCTAGTGTACGACATACACCATATAATATATGGAAAACCCTACACGACCATACACATCCCTCCCGCCCAGCGGCCAACACCGCTCAAACCCCTTCTCTGTTTCACTTTCTTCTAAAAATTTCATCTTCCCTCAAAATTCAAAAGCACATACCTTCTGTTTGATGCTCCCATAAACAATCGATTTCATCAATCCCTCTCTCTACTTCGTCTCCCGAAATCTCGATCTACCTATCTCCTCTTACTAACTAACCTCTCCTCTTCTCTTTCTCTATGGAGACAATGAGAGAAATGCAAAAGGAGGACAACGACTGAGAGAGGGAGCTCGTCGACGGGTTTGCCAATGAGTTGCGGGTCGGACCTCGGAAGAGCAGTTGAAGAAGTTCCAGAAATCGGCCCACTAGACGCTAGTCAAATTTGAACCCAATAATTTTTCGTCATATTATTTTATTTATTTCAGACGATCAGATTTAAAAATCGGTCAAGCGGTTCGAGTAGTTGGAATGGTTAACCATTTTGACCGGTCAAAAATCGACCTTCTTGACCATTGCGGCTTTTGGATGGTTCCGAACCGGACTGATGGTCGGGTGTCAGTTTTACCGGTCCGATCGGCCAGCTCGGGTCGGTCTTGATAACACTTCAAAATATGCATATTTTCTTTTTTTGTCCCACCCCACCAAAGCCAAAATCCTGGATTCTCCCTTATATGCAGGTCGTCCCCTCTGAATTTGCAAATAAGTAGTTCCCCAAAAATCTTGTAACAGTGGGGTTGCGTGCTTGTTACGAGGAAATTGATGAATTTTTTAACCAATCGGTACTTGTTGTCAAGAGAAATAAAAATGGATTGAGGTTGAAAATGTGGGTCGAATTTCGCATCAATAATGACTTGAGGGAAACGTGTGTTTGCAGAGGAGGAAGAAGAGGAATCTGGTAGAAACTGGAGTTCTCTACTTTGGTGTATTATGTAACACATGTGTTCTCATGGATCTTTTCCTCCCGTTTTTCGAGTGTGCAATGAGTTTTTCATGGTTTATGTCTAAAATGGATTCAATGTGTAACTAATTTGTGCATATGAGGAATGCACATCTTTGACCGTGAAGAATTATTGGGGTACAAGCAGGCCAGACTCTCTGAAAATCAGCTTACAAGTGTGGGCTTTCATGCAACATAGCCAGACTCTCTGAAAACTAGCTCTGTTCAGTCGACCACTCAAAACATCTCCCAAAATTCCAATTTTAGAGAGTTTTGGAAAAAGGATGATTGAGTGCACTAGCTCCTAATATCTTCTTTCCCCTATAATGGAAATACGGTTGTTTATTTTGTTTCACAGACGAAACAAAAGTTTACTCATTTCTTTTCATCCCTTTTAACATAAAGACACTTCTCCTTTCTCTTCCTCTTCCGCTTTTCTCTGCTACTGACTCGATCAAACTATAACATCACAATCGATGACCAAGTATAACCGCCGATCGGTGTAGTATAAGGCAAGCAAGCAATAAGAATTTATCGTACCTCGGTGACCTAGGCTTACCCTACTTCAGGTTTAGGGTTCGTTATCTAGCCAACCTAGGATAGTGATTGATAGAATTAAACTAACTAACCTAAACTAACCACTAACCTAGCTATTTACAAGGTTTGGAGCTCTCTTGGGTTGAATCGTCCTAGGTCCGGTCTTTGGATCAATGTTGGGTATCCTCCTAGCTTGATTGACTCAAATACACTACCGTTTGGAGATGGACTCCCTCGGGAATGACCCGGAACGGCGAATCAATGGATGGGTAGTGCTATATTCAACCTAGGGTTTCGTATAATGCTAGGAGACCTGTCGAATAAAATCCCTCGGGGACTACCCAGACAAATACGATAGGAGTGACCCGAAGTCGCCAAAAGGGGGCACTAAGGGGATTATCTCTCTCCTAGGTCAAAAGCTCAATACATGAAATGGAAATCCAAATCATGCCATTCATGAAAACATCCATCAATTAAGTAAAAGCATCAATCAAACATGGAGTTTGTCACATACATCAACATTAAATCAAAATCTAGACCTAGGGTTCTTAAACCAAGAGAAGAGGTTGAGTTTCTAGAGAGAGAAGATAGTGATTACAAATTTGAGCTCATGATCTTCTTCTTCTTCTAGGTTTGAATCCTTGTCTTCAAGATCAATCCAAGCCTCCAATCAATCTCCAAGATCACTCTAGCACTCTCTCTGTCTCACTCTCACTAGAACTCCCCTTTTGGTATTTTGGGCAAACCAGAGAGAGGGAATTGAATTTCTCTCCAAAAACCAGCTTTCCTTTTCTCTCTCCCCGCTGGTGTCTTCATATTTGCACGAAAGTGACCAGTTCACGGCCGCGTTGGCCAGTTCACGGCCGTGAACACCTAAACGCGTTCGTAAACTCAGCGTCGTCTCCAAAACGCACCGCTTCACTCTCATGGGTTCACGGTTTGTGCTCCAAGTTCACGGTCTTAGAGACCGTGAACTCGTCTCGCGGTAGTAACTGCAGATTTCTCCCTGGATGCCTCGATGTTCACGGTTACGGGGCAATTGTCACAGTTTTGGCACTTTTCGACCTCTAATCAACCCGAAACTCGTCCTCGGCCTTCCCATACGTGCTAGGACCTGAAATGTATCAAAACAAGCACAACCTAGAATGAAATATGTCAAGGAACGATGAAATGAAAAGTCAAACTATCAAGAAATGAGGGGCAAAATGTGTACATTTGGACCCGAATCAGCTACTTTCCATTTTCGTGCAACTTCTCTACGGTTGAGAACCCCCCCCCCCCCCCCCCCAAGGCAGTTCAATAACTTCACCTTGGAGATCTGTCATGAGGCCATAGTGATAAAAAAAAACTGGTAATACCCCATTTTATTCTTACACAAAAAACAATCCATTGAACTTAATCTTTCTGCGAACTCCCAATTTGACTTCGTGCTATGTTTTTTTCTTCTTTTCGTCTTTTTTTTCCTTGAACGACATGCAGATACTTCCTCAAGTTTGTCAAGACTGTGAAGGACGAGATTTCTCATGAAGAGTGTCTGGAAGACCCAAACGGTAGAGTATGGCTCGTTGGGTTAACCAGAGGTCGTACTAACAAAAATATAGTGTGGCTCTATCTGGACTTGCTGAATTTCTCAATTCTTACTTCATCAGGTTGGCCACTTGCCGATATTCAAATATCATGACAGATCCGTTCTAGGTGGTGGTTTTGACAACACGGTTGTGAGGTCCTGAATGTCATGCATCTACGGATGAAGGAGAGAGCGACGACTCCAAGTCCGATGATGCCAAAGATTCAGAGTCGAAGAGGGACAGGTAGTACTACCTTGGTGGCCAATATTGTATCCAATCCACCGTTCCAATCCAATCCATGCATCGACTAAAACATCCATTTAATCCAATCCATTTAATCTAAATCCAATTATATTGGTGGATTCATAGATATTTGGTAAATTACAATTTGGTGCCTATATTTGTTATTTTTTATATGATGATACCTAAAATATTATTTTTATATGTAAAACATCATTGAAAAATTATGTTTTGGTGCCTACATTTTTATTATGACATTTAGTACCTACAATTTTTAAAATTTACATAATGGTCCAATGTTTAGATGTCAGTTTGATCCATGATCCAATTCATGAACCCACCAGTCCATTTTATCCAATCTATGGATCCTCCAATTCAATCCACTAATCTATGAATTCAATCCATTTTCTAGTTCTACCTTGAAGTTCATAAGTGCCATTCTAGATTCCCTATCCAAGGAACCTACAATAATGGAGATGGTGTTGAATATTGGTGAAAGCCATTCGAGTTATATCATTGCTTTCTTACGCTTTGCTATTGTATCGCAGCTCCTCCTACATGTGGTTCCTTAGGATACAAAGCTAAATGCGATGATATGGCAGATGTCCCCATTAGGATAGTTCAATCATAGCACGTCATATGACCTGACATCGGGTGAAGAGGATTTGGGTACTTCCCGTCCAGTGTAGCGCGCAATATAGTGTACCCCGACATCAAGAAGGACCCAAACCTCCCTTTGGTTAGCAACAGGAGAGAGGATTATAAAAAATCCGGAGTCTCATTGCCTTTGCAACGTGCCTGATGATATTCCTCAACAGATGTACTTTTCATTAGTGGTAACCCTACCTACAAATACTTTTAACCAACCTATGTCTGATATTTGCAAAACAAATGGAAGAAGAAGCTAATAGAATATGTTCTTATATTTTTCGATATATTAATCTATATTGCTATAATTTTTGCATTTAAACTCTTCATTCACATATTCTGATTGCTTTTTATTATTGCCATACAAGATGGGAGTCGAGATTTATGATACGAGAATTTATATTCATCCTGGTCCGAGAATTCCTGAATTGTTGGATGGCCAACCTTTTCAACGATCCCAAAGTATTTGGATGGCAGACCCGGTAATTAGCATTTATTATTTCTATTTCATACATTATAATTAGTATTTATTATTTATATTTCTTCATATAATTAGCATGTGTTATTTCTATTTCTTACAAAATAATTAGCATTTATTATTTCTATTTCATACAATATAATTAGAATGTATTATTTATATATCATGCAATATTATTAGTATTGATTATTTCTATTTCAACACTAATTATTAACTTTTTAACTTGTGGGAACAACTTGATGGTATCACCTATTGGGGACATCTGTCTTGCCCCCATGGGATGTGTACGAATTGAGACTTTAATCGAGAGAGCGGGGTTGGCGAGTGCGCGATTCTTCATAGGGATGGAGTTTGACAATGATCTGCTCACAGTGTTGGTCGAGAGGTGGAGGAGAGAGACGCACACCTTCTACCTCCTCGAGGGAGAGGCAACGATCACATTGAATGACGTCGCCTTGCTCATCGATTTTCTCACCCTGAAGGATGCATCTATTGTGTTATCTTCTGTGTGATGAGATATAACTGTTTAACATCTGAAGTGATGCTTGGATACGTCTTACAAACCATGCAATAGTCTGAAAGAAGATATGCAGGACAATAGCTGATATTGGCATTGCACGAGCACCAACATACAAACCGTTGAATCTCTCACCCATTTTCGTCGTGGTTATGCCATACCTTTACTATCTGTCCTAGTGTAATGCCTACTTCTCAAAATCATGCCTTTCTGCCCAATCTGCGCCTTCGGGGTGGATCTCTCTTATATGCTTCATCGTGTCCACATACTTTCGGGGTTGATAGTGGGTAGCTACATGAAAGAGTGTGAGTGTTAGTGAAGAAACGTAGACATACACATATTAATGAGGGAGATATGTACATTGAAGAATTATAAATTGTACTTGCCGGCTCGCCAAACATCACTTTGGCCCAATGTGTGGCCAAACTTACGACCATAATTGCTCTTGAAATGGCACATCACCATCGCCACTTTCATCCAAGCTCCTCGGGAAAATTGTACATTGCATGCGCAATGGTACGGTGACAATCAGATAGGATGTCAATGTCATTCCGTTGAGTGACGCGAGTGTATAGTTGGAGGAAAAACCATAGACATTGGACAACTGTCGGTGTTCTCCGATTCAACTACAACAAATGCAAGCAGGAAAAATTGTTTATTGTCATCAACACTTGTGGCGATGAGTAGAGTGCCCTTGTATTTGCCCATCAGAAAAGTCACATCTACTTGAATTACCCGCTAGCAATGATCAACAATACTCGCCCACCTGTTCCGTCTCGATGTACACCTCAACAACTCGAAAATGTTCTCGGCTACGAAATCCAGCATCATATTAATTCCATCATCATCAGACATGATTGATTCTTTGTACACCATTGCATATCTGTCGTAAACCGGCATTCGATATACCATCTTGCATACTCTTCAATGACCACCTATGCAACACCATTTCCTTACAAATATGAAAGAGATCCTGCCAACCAAATCTTCTATCAATCCGAATAGTGCTTGCCTCACCACCTTCATAGTCAACACTATTCTGAAATCTTGTCACTCGACAATTCCACTAAATCAATAGGTCGAACTTTTTGAAATTCCTTCCTATTTTTGCATTTAACAATACCAAAAATTACATATAATTCAAAGCATAAATATAAATAAATAGTCAAATATTAATCCAAAACTCTAATCCATATTTAACCTACATTCAAAGGCTAATGTAACCCATGTTAAAACCAACAAAACATATTTAACCTACATTCGAAAGCTAATAACAACCGGTACAACTAAACCTTAATATATCACCAAGCATTAAACCAAAATCCTAATCTACATTCAAAGGATAATGAAACCCATGTTACAACCAACATAAACAAACATTCCTTCCAATGACACCTTCTTCTTCCTTGCTAATAATTTCTTGCTCTTTTTGTTGTTTGTTTTTTGCATAATGAAGAGAGGAATGAAGAAAGGGTGCTCGGTATTTGTTTTAGTTCACTGAGAGTAGTTCGTTGTCTACCCCAGCGATCCACTTCAACTCGGAACCCTATCATTGTACCCTGTCGTGAGACAAGTCGAGAGAAAGTGAATGAAATTATTGGTAGAGGTTACTAGATTATGAAGCGAACTACTTATAAATATGTCGACAGATTGATGGGTAAAAGACCTCGCGTACCATTTAAGTTTGAGAATTGGGGTCCTCATACCACTTAAGTTTGAATAGGGCGTCAGGTACTACTGAACTCTATTATATGTGCACCCGGTACCACTTAAGTTTACTCCTAAGTGCATTCCGTTAAAGTTGACAGAATATTCTTGGAATATTTTGTTTTCTAAATTTCATAATTGGTCCTTCTACTTTTTTATTGTAAAAAAATAATTTGGACCTATGAAAAACATTATTTTTTATTGGTTAGTTAGAATCCTCTTTTGAATATTTGATACCATATCAAGAAAATTTAGAATCAATTATCATTATAATTATTTTTAATTATCATTATGAGTTCTAATAATTTAATTATTCCATACATGTTGTAACTAAACAATGTTGTAGCTTATATAGTCATATTTTTTTCTATATTTTTTACCGAATGTTGTAGCTTTTATTTTATTCGTTACTTGGTTAGTTTACATTTCTTTTTGTTCTAATTATTTTCAATCAGAGGAATATGTTTAATTCTTTCTTATTGTGTTCTAGTTATCCTTCTTTGATTTTAATATATTGATAATCAATTAGGTTCTATTTTAATTATTTCTAATGGTACTTCTAATTGAATTAGGGGGTTCAAATAGATATTCTAATATTAATTTTTAATATTAATTTTTATATTCTAGTATATTTATTATTATTCTTGATATCAATTTAATATATTTACTAATTTATCTATTTTATTTAAAAAATATTAATCATTCTAGTAATAATATTTAGAAGGTTTTCTAATTATTATATTAAATAAAACTTGTTGAAAAATAGTTTTAGATGTTTTTAAAAGTTTCGGGTACCAAAAAGTAATTAAAATTTTGGGTTGGATGGAAAAGTTGACGGATGCACATTTTGGCGACTTTAATGGTACCCGACGCCCTATTCAAACTTAAGTGGTATGTCTACCCCAATTCTCAAACTTAAGTGGCACCCGAGTTCACAGATTGATTATTCATATTGGTTCGTTTACCTAGGCAACAAATAACCATTGTTTCGCTTACAATATGAGCGAACCAGTGTAGTTCGCTTAAAAAGCAGGCGATCCAACCTAGCTCACATCCTCTGCCAGCAAACCACATTTAATCCACTCTCTAAACTCACGAACGAAATGGTTCACTTAGCTGCCAGGCGAAATGCTTTATTGTTACGCCCGCATATGCAGCGAACAACACCTAACTTAGGCATTTTGTAATTTTTTTGTAATTGTGGTATTATGAGAATTGTTTTTTGCAAGTTGGGTATTTTGGGATTTTGTCCCACAAGATTTGACTTATTTTTACTACCATTGAAAATGGCTAAAGACTTATTTATTTTCGATTAACTGAAAATCAATAATACCGCTAATGATTTTTATTGCAGTAGAAATTTTCCTGATTTGATTTTTATTTTTCATGGTTAACTATCTGATTAACAAAACCAAACCAGAAACGACAACATTACTTTTACCTCATTTCATTTTGCCATATACCAAAACTATATTCAATCTCATTAAGTGGGAAAAAATCTCAAACCCAACCAAACCACTGTGGCATTGACCCATTGTCCTGTCCTCCTACACCTTTTTTTTTTTTTTTTGTTAGATGATTAAAATTATTCAACGAAATCAAGTGATTATAAAAATTTTCCTACAAAAAAAATAAAGAAGATTATAAAATTTTGAGTTCCAAACCTTCGAATATTTTAATTTTTTTATATATATAACCCCCAACTATCTCCTCCCATTTTTTCGTTTTCTTCCTTCTTTCTTCAACTCTTCTTCATCCTTCCCCTTGTTTCTGTCTCTGCATCATCGATAATTTCCTGCTTTCCCCTTCCCTTTCCCCTTCCACTGTTAAAATTACAAATCTTTTCTTCCCCTCAAACCAACCCTTTTTGATTCTTTTCTCCGTCCTCTCTCTCTCTCCCAGACTTCTCTCTCTCTCACCATCTCTCTGTTCCTTTCTCGCCTCTGAGAATCATCTGACACACGAATCAGGGAAAAACAGAAGCCGCCATAGCCAAAAGCTCCATCACCGCCTCTGCAACAACAACGAGAAGAAGATATCAGCAGCAGAACTAAAGAAGCTTACCACCAAAATCATAATCATCATCATAGCCGGATTCCCCTGATTCCAGAAACCCCCAAAATTTCCTCGTCCGCGATTTCGATCTCATCCCACCATTTCTGCTTCCATCGGTAGGAACAGAGCGGCAAAAGTTTTGGGCGTCTCTGTTTATTTATGTTCGGGAAGCAGATATGGCTGCCGGCACAGATTTCTCGCCTCCCTTCGCTATGCTAAACGGCGGTGGATACAACAATTCCAGTAGTAATAAGGATAACAGTAGAAACCTCTCCCCCGCTGCCGGCGCCGACGAGAATTCCGACGCCGTCAAGCAAATCCCCAATGGCAGGCCTCCCCGCCACACCATCCCCTCCGCCAGGCTACTCGCCGCCGCCGATCTGGTACGCTAAACCCCTCTCCGCCTTCCAATGGTAGTTTCTGGATCTTGTTGTGGTGGCCTAATTGTTTTGGAATTTCGAACCTCTCTTTCCCTTTTTCTTATCCAGGCTATGGATGTTGGGTTAGTCGTCAATAAGTTGCCGTCCGATGAAAAAACCGATTTTTTGCCGATCTTCCGATCAGGGAGTTGCGCCGAGGAAGGTCCCAAGCGGTACATGGAGGATGAACATGTATGTATTGATGATCTCAACCAGTACCTGGGTTCAACCACTGCCAGCTTCTCCTCCATGGGAGCTTTCTACGGGGTTAGTAATAGTAATACTAATCTCCTTGGATCATAAGAAACTCCCAGTTCTGAAAATTCCGGTTGACAGCAGTCAAGTTTGTACTTTACAATAGGTGTTTGATGGCCATGGAGGTACGGATGCAGCTTTGTTTGTGAGGAACAATATATTGAGATACATAGTTGATGACTCCCAGTTTCCTATGTGCGTGGAGAAGGCAATCAAGAGTGCTTTCTTGCGCGCTGATTACACCTTTGCAGATGATAGTTCTCTCGATATCTCCTCTGGCACCACCGTGCTCACTGCCCTTATGCTTGGCCGGTTAGTTCATAAGCTGTTAAATTCAAATGATATGTTGCTGTTTTCTGATGGTCCTAGAGAAAGATGGTCGATATGAAGGCAGTTAGTAATTTTGTTTTGATGCTGTTAATGAAGTTAATGAAACTGAGAGACTCATTCGCCAGGTTAATGAAGCTGAGAAAGCTAACTTTTTATATCGAAATATGGTTGCCTGTTCTTTCTGATGTACCTAGGATAGTAGGAGTTGTGACTCAGTTGGTTGGATGCATCCATGGATGCCTGTTGTTTCAATGTTCGTCAGACTCTAGAATTTAAGTACTTGGAGGTCGCTCTTCGGTCTCATGATTGGCTCTCATGAAACTAATAAACACGATGAGAAGTTTTAGATACCTGCTTTTTCTGTTTGTCATCAGTTCATAGGATATTAGACAAGTTTGTGATCAAGTCGCGATTCAAGTACTTGGTGATCTGGCGACTCCTGTTGCATTGTTGTTAATGAGCCTGTTGAAAAGTTTTGATCGTTGAGTGGATTATTCATTAAGCCTTATTCTTGACTCTTGACCGTTGCAGGACACTGATCATTGCCAATGCTGGGGATTGTCGAGCAGTGCTGGGCCGAAGGGGCAGAGCAATTGAGATGTCCAAAGACCACAAGCCGAACTGCACATCTGAGAGGTTAAGAATCGAGAAGCTTGGCGGAGTCATCTATGACGGCTACCTCAATGGCCAATTGTCGGTCTCCCGTGCACTAGGCGACTGGCACATGAAGGGTCCCAAGGGGTCCGCATGCCCTCTGAGCCCAGAACCTGAGTTGCAGGAAACAAACCTAACCGAGGAAGACGAGTTCTTAATAATGGGGTGTGACGGCCTTTGGGACGTGATGAGCAGCCAGTGTGCAGTGACGATAGTAAGGAAAGAGCTCATGCTCCACAATGATCCTGAGAGGTGCTCCAGGGAGTTGGTCAGGGAAGCACTGAAGCGAAACACATGCGATAACTTGACGGTTATAGTTGTTTGCTTCTCCCAGGATCCGCCACCTCGGATCGAGATCCCTCAGACGAGAGTTCGTAGGAGCATATCGCTGGAAGGTTTGAACTTGCTCAAGGGCGTGCTTGATGGGAACTCGTGAGATGGAGGGCGGAAACGAATGGCCTTTGTACAGGACGTTTTCCTTGGTGTCCCGCGATTGTCAGGAGCGCATTGTTCTGATTCTTTGGAAATGCGGAACCTTGTGATGAAGTTGGAAATGTTGTGCCGATTTGGGAGAACGTTCGTAGCTCTGAATGGCTGAGATGCATGGCTTCCTGGCCTGCTGCCTTAATTTTTGATTTATCCATTGTACATAATCATGGAATTCATTTTGTTTCTTACCTTTTTACTTCATATGGTGTAATGTTATTTTGATTACTACGTGATGTTATCACAATTTATTTTTAGAGTTCATTTAATTAATTGATTATTGCCTGTTCTTTCCTGAGTTTGTGGTGATCATTGTTCTACATGAATTACTCTTTAGATAGTTTTTCCCCATTGGGTTGATTCTTAATGGTAGCATTTGGCAAAGAAAGTCTCCTTTGTTTAACAAGGGCCAGAATTTAACGGAACTGGAAAGTAAAAGACCAACGAAGAACTTAATCAAAAGGACAAGCTGCTGAATTCCGTACTGGTGTTATCATTATCCAACTTCATGTTCTCTTTTAACTTTTAAGGAAAGCATTAAGCTCAAGTATATGACAAAACATCAGATGAAACAAACTAGCGGACCAAAGCCAGCCAGGGAAGCCAAATTTCTGTTTCAAGTTACAAACTTTATGTTATCCAAGCTTAGCATAGACGGCAGCCATGCCAAGCCAAATATCAGTTTCTTCTGACAAGCACTCTTTCTATCTCTTTCACGTCACAAGCTAGTCCTCCTGGTGTTAATTGACGCAAAGCAAAGTCAGAGCTCCTCATGTTCGTCATCGACGTCAACATCAGCCTGATGGGAACCACTGCAAACAGAGAGAAACGTCTTTTTATTTGGAATTCGCAGTCTGAAGATTCTGCAACTCTTTTCAGTTTGTAGGATCACAATCAGCAAGCAAAACTAAGAGTGAAAGAGATGCATAGGTGGAAAGCAAGAACTTTAGTCTTTATAATTTCCATTTGTGAAAGGGTATCATGAGATGGCAAAAGAAAAGACAACTAAAATTAACTCTGAGATGTGGACAAGGGGTATAGATTCTTTTAAGTTAGGCTATAGACTCCAGAACTCCACAATTTGATGGACTCTTCTAAGTCAAGTAATGAGATATGGTATGCATACCTCAAACTGCCAAGTATTGTCGCTACCTTAAGGAACATTAACAAATAACAGAAGAAAGACTCATCTATTTGCAACTCTGGTTGTAAGCATCCTACAGCTGTTAAGGTGGGTTATGACAGAATGATCTGGAATTGGAGATTACCTTGATTGGCAGTGCTTGCTTAAGTCCTGACACAGAACCTTGCTCACACCTCCTACGGTAACTGATCCTTTCTTGATAAGCTCTGTCAACTGCACCATTAAGAAGCATGAAATGTTTTAAGCATCTCTCTGCAGATTTAATTGACAATTTAGATAGAAAATTCCCAGACCTAAGGATTACTTACCTCATCTTCAGTTTCCTCAAGTAACCTGTCCCATTTTCGAAGAACTGGTTAAACTTCCAAAATCTTAAATCGACTACATTTTAAATCCTTCGAGCATAAGCTAGACTAGAGCATAGAACAGGAATATAGTCATAGTGGACAATATTTCGCATTACCTTCCACAATAAGATGACATCTGTTTTGAATACGCTCGAGCTTCTTGCTTGTCTGTAGAAAGAAAATATATATCACACGCCTTAGAAGTGTAGTGAAATTCATAGAATTGCTGAAGTCAGAAACAGATTAAGTGATAGAAAGCTGCAATCAACAAGGTCATCTACAGAATAAAGAACAATCTTCAAGCTTTCCAAGGTCCTATGATAATCTTTATAAAAAGTTACTTACTCGTCGTCAGAGTGTCCCAGTCATTTACTTTGATCCACTCCCGTCTGCTAGAATCTACCTGCAAGACCGAATATAACATTCGAAAAATTTAGTTCACTTGCCACAATCTCACTAGTGCAGAGTGTCAACAGCTTTCCAAACAGTGAACGATTAGAAAGACAAACTATCCACATCCAAATCTCACCTTCTCGAGTGTATAACCCTGCATCTTGTCGCAAAGCCCATCCAAAAGCTCAACAACTCTCAGCTCACTGACTCTGTTGAAACATAGCCCAGAATTCTCAAAAGTCAACCAGTTTGAATCAAGCAGAAGGCACGTATCAACCAAATTGGACCTTCTGTAGCTCTATTCGTTTGCTTTTTTCTTCAGTTCTACAGAGGACATGATTCTGCATATATATATCTCCTAAACATAGCAGTTATAGATGCATTGGGGCAATACCTGTAATCAATTACCTTTCCTTCTCTTTGCCCTTTAGAATTCAAACGATTCCTCATGTCTAAATGATTCCTGGGCTTTTCCTACGTGAACAAAATGAAGAACCGCAAAAGGGTTTTATCTCCATAAGCCGAACACTATATAAACACATTACTCGCAGCCGCAATTGAGCAGAAATCTTACATTGGACAGCCCAATCTCCAACTCCGCCTGCAAAAAAGAATCCATTTTTCGCCACCGCCGTCATAATTTGACCGTCGGTAATTTGCTTCAAGTGATCGAAGATCTGGAACAAGGAATTGAAGAAAGGAAATGAAATGAAAAGAAAAATGAAGATACCGCGACGGCATTGCAAGCAGCGCACTTGTCGTCGACGGCGGAAGCAGCCGAAAACATGAGGAGGAGGATGACGGCTCGCAGCAGCGACGCCATTGACTCCGCCGTCCTTGTAATCTTCGATTAGCGATTGTTCGTTCCGATTCAGTATGGAGAACTCAAGATAGATGCACCCATTAATAATTAAATCTGACTCTTCAATTAGAAAATTCAGATCTAAGGATGGAGAATTAAAGACCATTTTTATTTTCCCTAACTTTCTAAATTGACTTATATCTTTTTCGTTTTAATTTGGATTTTAATTTCTTTTGCACAGATGGAACGAGTTCATCGTGCTCTACAAAATGATATCAATTTTCAATATTTTTTGAGAAAAAAAATTGTGGCCTCTCGGTACCAACTGCATACCATATGGTATCTTTTCGTTTTTAATTCGTTTTTGAAAACGTTTGCACAATAGGGACAAGTTCATCATGATCTATTGGATCTACAAATTTCTGGGTGAACAAATTACAATACCACCTTGGTACGGGGTGGTATCTTATGGTATACAATGTTAAAAATTGTAAATGACAATTAGTATACTCTACTATCATGTATTCAACCATCCTACAGTTTTGGTTTATGTCATACCTCCATGGTACTTTTTTGAAACCATAGGTATGCTCTTATTTCAATACCAGTCAATACCATATGGTATAGACTGGTAAAAAATGGCTCAATTTTTTTTGTTCGAAAAATATATCAAAGTGGATATCATTTTGAAGAGCACAATTAATCTGATCTAACTGTGCAAAAAAAATTAAATTTTGACTTAAAACGAGTGAGAAATCGTCCGTCAAAGATTAAGGAGAGGAAATTTAAAGGCTTTCCAGGAGATCGAGGATGCTGATGTCATGATGTGGGCGGGTTCCTCATGGTTACTCACCATAAGGTTACTGACCTGATCCATTCCCCAGTATGGAGCTAACCACAGTCTCGACAGTCAAAATGTCGCGAGTAGGGATGTCAATGGGTCGGGTTGGGGCGGGTTTTGTCAAACCAAATCCAAACCAATGGGTTTATTCGCCAAAAAAATTTGGGGCCCGCTGGGTTTGAAAAACTCAAACCTAACCCAACCCGCCGGGTATCCGCAAGTTCATGGGTACCCGTGGTTTTTTGTGGTAAAAAATTTACAATAACAAGTTTCTTTCAAAATAAAAATTTAACATCAATTTTCTCATACAAATTATTCATACAAAAAACACCAATCTAGAGCATACAAGCAAACCGCAAATAATCAATACAAATTGTTCAAAATTAAAGACAAACATCTATAAACAATAAGATTAATTAAAAGCTTCTTCCTCGTCAACTAAGTTTCTTCACTCTCCACTTCATAATATCAACTTCATTCAAAAAAATTAGAAAGAACAAATTATACATGTCTCCAAAAACATAAAGAATATTAGTTGTTTAAGGAAGATATATTATTTATAATATTAAATATACCGGGAAAATAATTATGTGTGTGTGGACGGGTACCCATGAGGCGGGTTTACCTAAACTCAAACTCAACCCAATAAATAGTGTAGCAAGTTTAAATCTGAACCCGAACCAAAACCCATCAATATGAATTTTATCCGCGTTGATCGGATTGAATCGAGTGGATACCCGTGGATTCGGGTTTTGTTTCATCCCTAGTCGCGAGTCTGGTCCTTAATTTTGCTTTCTAATATGGCCCGACGACTATCGAGTCTATAAACTTAAGGGATCCTAGCCCAATGGACCAATTGAAGGAGCAGCTGTGAAAAGCTGGGCCTTGAGATTTGTAGTCCAATTAGGGAGCCATCAGCCATGGAAATAGAGATGCTCATTATAATCTCATTGGGCCTTGAGATTTGTAGTCCAATTAGGGAGCCATCAGCCACGGAAATAGAGATGCTCATTATAATCTCATTAAACTACGATTGTCTAAAGGCGGTTTGGAAAGTATGAATTTAAATATATCAACAATCTAAAAATTGTAACTCTTCAAATTGTTGATAATAGATTTTAAAATGTTTATTGTTTGGTAATTGTGATTGTTAACGTTCAACGAAAAATAAAATTTTTACTTTTATATTAAATAGCATGTTTATCCTTAATAAAAAATTAGATTGGTTCAAGAAAATATTAAAAAATTTGTTTATAAATATATTTAATATGACAAATAAATAAAAGAAAGAGAAAAGGTAGGAGAAAAAAATATCACGAATCAATATATAGAATCTCTCTGATTATGAGAGATTTTATATCCATAGATTTTAGAGACTTAAAATCTCTAAAGCTAAAATTCATAATACAAAAAACAAAACAAAAAAACATAACTTTTTACAAAATCTACGGATTCAATGAATTCACGCCCTAAATCCCGTTCTCCAAACGACCCCTAAATTAGTTTGTCGTAATCTATCACTATATTTGATTCAATTAGTGACGATATATGAATTATACTAAGATGACCAAGAAGACCCACTCAGAGTCAATTCAATCCATATTCACAGCGTTTTGCTTTATGCCTTCAAATTTGTAGTAACTTAATTCCTTATGATTCTTTGAACTTATACCAACCAGAATGCACATAAGAGATATTGGTCTAGAGCCTTACGGTCTTGAAAAAATTGAAATCCTCTCATCTCCTTCCGTCGTGAATGCTAATCTTCAAAATAGTCATATCATGAAAGATAATTTATACATCAAATTTGACTTGCAAATCTTTGTATTCATTAGAGACTTTAAAAAGAAATGAAAGAAGATATACAACCATTAGGGGATGAATGGAGATGCATAGAAATGGAAGAAACAATGGCAAATAGAAAGAAGAAGAAAAAAAAAGTCATAGACCAATCCTCGTAGCTTTGTTTGGCCATGATTCATGAACTCCCAATTATGCAACTCTATTAACACCTTCCAATCCCAAAGCTAACAGACATAGTTCATCAATAATGGACCAAAGTATTAAATTTAAACCCTTTCTTCATACTTTATAGGTACAATTGATTCTCATAATAGTTCCTTTGTAAGGGGAATTAAATAAATGGGAGGGAAATTAACTATAATAATTTGTAAAATGAGGTTGAAAGAAAGGTGCACATGTTAGTCATAAATGAGACCTTGTTTGCTTTTGTTGTCATACTCATTACCCCCACAAACCCAACCCCGATTGTCAAAATTGTTTCATTATTATTTTACACAATGATGTATTGTATAAGTATAATAACATATATATAAGTTAATAATAACCTACCAAAGAAACAAACACACAAAAGGCATCATTTTCATGCATTAGGTGGAGACAATGCACTTTCAAGAGTGCACAAGTAATAGGTTATTAGGCAAGTAAAGGCGTTCCTCTTGGTGTGTGGTCTCTTTTCCCATTTGTATGTTGACTTGTGTGTGAGGGGATAACCAATAAGTAGCCAATTCCAAAGCTCAACAACAATTTATATGATTTGTGGGTCATAATTTTGATAGACTATAGAGTTTGTTGCATAAATTTTGCTTAATTAATTACGGTTATTTGTCTGCTAACCATTGCGCATCAAGTAAATGAGATCGTAAGAAATTTGTTGACTGAATTAGGAAACTTTTCCTGATACGTTCCAACAATACAAAAAATAAATCGATATCAAGTATCAGAACTCGTGAGTACAATCATATTCGACATCTTGTGTTCTTATTCATTTCGAACTATTATAAGTGTTTACCTCCTCGCAAAGAAGAGAAACCAAAAAAAAAAAAATTCACATGGATAATTAGGTGTGATGATCGGTGAAGATTGATAATTAGGCATGATGATAAAAGGAGAAATGGAACAAAAGTAAGAGGATTAGTCATCGTCTCCCATTAATTAAAATGTTGTAATTAAGGTCCCACTTCCACCACCATCTCCCATTCTTCTCCGGTGTATAGTGTCTCATTACCTACTCTCTCGACCAAAATAAAATGGCACTCCATACCATTTCCATTCCATGCCACTTGTTCCCCTCTCCCTCAATCATCAAAACCAAAAATTTATGAGAAATTTTACAATGCTATATAGTATTGGTGCTATAGGTTTTTGTCTTGATGATACAATTTAAAATTGTACATTTATGTTATGGTACAACTTCAGATTGTACCTATACTTTTTGTACAAATTCTTTTATGGTACAACTTGAACTTGTACATTTATGTGATGGTACAACTTCAAGTTGTAAAGTTGTACCATAACATAATGGTACAAATTGCTTTATGGTACAACCTAAACTTATACATTTAATGTTATGGTACAACTTTGAGTTGTACATTAAAGCACCAATACTATATAGCATAGTAGAATTGCTCAAAATTTATAGGTCCAATCCAACCAACCTAGTCTTCTTCAATTCATTCCTTCTTACAAGGTGGAAAGTACATAAACATCCCACTCCATGGAGATATAAAAGTACAGGAAGCATACTGGTCTCCACCACCTCCAGGGTATACATGTGAAAGTGTTGTATTGATGGGACTTGGGAGTCTATCATCAAGTTCACATGTCTTGGTGAATGCATCCGGATCGAGACAGGTGCTTAGATCGTCGGATTTCTCAATCGTATATCTTTGTGCTAGAACTTTGAGTTATTCGAGATGACTTGTCACTTCTATTGGCTTTAGGCTACATGAAGATGCGCATCTCAAAACAAATTCTAATACGCCAACTTTTCTTGTTCGTTTAGGTCGATCTTACTTTCCACCCTGTTGAAAACCTCATTAAAGATTACTTGCAACTCATCAGGAAATCGTAACAAAATGAATTTCTATCTAGTGCAAAACTAATATTGTTGCATTGCATATATGACATCGCCGCTGGGGGTGGGGAGTCAGGCGGTGCAACAGCCTGAATCCACCGCCGTCGCCGTCACGCGCATCCCTTCAATATGTACGATCCAGTTCTGGCTCCTGTATGATTTCATGGATCGTGCTATTTATTGTTAATACGAACTAGGACACTCTGCCGTATGTCTTTCTTAAAAAAAAAAGGAGGAAAGAGCCAAACCAAGAGCAAGACCTTGAAGTTGGTGCAAGCTGATACCTCTGCAGTAATCTAGTACTGCACCTAACCAAACAACAAAATTGGACGGCCCTGGGATACAAAAACCTTGGTTTTACGGATTCTTTACTGGTAATTAATTTATAAAAAATGGAAAGACCGGCCGGTCCACAGATTGTAAAGGGTGAACCGTGAACCAGTTCCCGTAGTGTTTTATCGACGGTGAAAACCGGAAAAGAAAGAGAGAAAAGAAAAGCAGTGGTGGCCACTGGGCAAGTATCAATCAAAGGAAGTAGAAAACAAAAAGGGAAGCCGGAAAAGAGAGAATAAAGGAGAGCTGCAAGGTTGTCAACCCGCGGGTCGATCCGCAGGTTGACCCACTTTGATCCTGATCCGGTGAGAAAAATGGGTCGCACGCACTCGTCGGGTCGACCGTTACAAGGTACCGGATTGGAGGTCAAATTGTGTCGTTTTTTCTTTGTTTTGCGAAATGCGTCTATTTTCCGATTTTTCTTTTCGCCTAACTCAATCTTTGAAATCCTAAGTTGAACATTTGAATATTAATGTTATATTGGTGTAATATTATATGTCATAACTCATTTGTTAGATGAGATTTGATATAATTTATCAGGATAAGTACAATATAATGATGCTTTTCATATTTCCGAGCTAAACCGGGCTAAACCGGGTGACCCATTAACCCTTGACCCACTAGCTCAACCGGGTCAGGGTCAACCCACAGATTAACAACCTTGGAGAGGTGGTAACTAATTACTCACTTCTTTCTCCATCTTTCTACTGTTTTATTTTTGCTTTCCTTTCACCTGGTTTGTTTTTTTTATTTACTTTCACCTGGTTTGTTGTTAAGTAAGTCGATAGTTAATGAACTTAAAAGATGCAAGCTAAGTTTAATGTTACATTGTATCTTATGGGTTCATAGTATATAGTTAAAGCATATACATATCGTCGGACAAGTTGGTGTGATTTCATTCGAAATTGTATATGATTGATGTGTTTCGAAATGATATTTTAATGTATTTGAAAAGTTTAAAAAAATGCCTTTGATTGCTTGCGAATGTGAAATACACCTTGTGCACAAAAATTGTCATACATGCGGGCAATTGCATGTTATTACAAATATCACTCTCCCAAATCATGGGCAAAACCAGGATTCTTATGTCGTCGGGGAGGGGGCAAAAAGGAAAATTACACATATTATCATGCTTCAATGGGTAGATCAGTAAAATCACATTTAATGTAAATGTTCAAATATTTCGGTTTACTGAACCAAGAATTTACAACACAATTTATAGCTAATTTTTATTATTTTCATAACGTAAGATGCACATTTAAAAATAAACTTAAAACATTCAGAGAATCTAAACAAAATAGTATCCAATGACACAATTAAAGTTCATAAAGACTGAAGGAAGTAAATTAAGCTGGCAAAAATATATCCCGAATGGAAAAACAGGAAAATCAACTAAAAATGATGGTGAAAATGATAAAACCATGTACTACTAATTCCTGAATTTATAAATTTGAAAAAAAATTCCTACATACACAAATTTATAAATTCAGGGAAGGGAAGGGGGGAGATGATGCACATTTTTTTTTGTCAATAGCTCACTTATATTATCGAGAAAACAAACATAAAAAATCTACATTACTTGTTAAAAAAAATTAACTTATAGATCTTTCACATACAAGATTTATACCACCCTTTAAAAAAAATAATATTTATACCACGTTTAGGATTATATTTCTACAATTAAACTGAGTGGTAATAACGGTTCAAACTATAATAGTTAATCAGTGAATTAATCGGTCCAACCTTGATACAACCCTTCGATTTGGTCATTAATCAGTGAATTAATCGGTCCAACCGACTGACATGATTCATTAACTTCTTTTAACTATTTAGTTATGAAAAAGGCTAAAATCAAGGGAGAAAATAGAAAAACAAAGAAGAAAGACGAGAAAAGAAAAGGAGAGAGAGAGAGATGGGGTCAGGGTCGGTCGGGGATGGAGGGTCGCTTTACTAATTCCCTCGCCATCCCAAACGGTCGTCGTCCGTCGTTCTTCTTCATCATTCTCCCCCACCGAAACAAAATTTAGTGTAAAACCTTCTCTCAACTCAACCTCACATCTCTATTCTTCCCATTGCTTCGCTTCCCAGCTAATTCCTCTCAACTTCCAAAATCCCTTTTCACCTACTCGTCTTCTTCTTCTTCATTTCCCACTTAGATTCGCTTTGTTAGCTCTGGAAACCAGATCTCTCTCCTCCCCTCTAATGTAAGTGGGAGAAAAACCGAAACCCAGTATCCCGTTTACTTGATTGTCTCCTGGGTTCGTCTCATTGATTCTTCTTTCCGAGCTCTGCTTTCGATCCATGACTTAGCTGCGGGCGGGAAATGTTATCCGACGGGGACGCCTCGCTCCGCCGCGATTTCGAGGCGTTGACAGTCTCCCGCCGCCTGGTGAGGACCGTTAGCCAGAAGCTGAGGAAGAAGGCGACCCCCGATCACGATTCTCCCGCCAGTGATGGATTCTCGTTGAAATGTCTTACCTTGATGGGACGAGGAGGCGGCTGCAAGGTCGGAGCCGATACCGGAGATGATTTCGTTGGAGATTCCGGAGGCCGGAGGAGGTCCTCTACTTCCAGCGATGAAGCCAGCAGGACGCCTTACAAGCCCATCTGCGGCGGGGAAGAAACGGGAGTCGATTGCTTCTTTAGAGAAATGTTTTGGAAGAAGCACAGCAGGAGGGGCTTGCAGATTGAAGCCCCTCCGATTGCGAATCCAATGGACACCAGCAAGCTGCACATCTTTCTTCCAGACGACATTCTAGAGCTTTGCCTGGTAAGGCTTCCTCTAACCAGTCTCATGAATGCTCGCCTTGTCTGCAAGAAATGGAACAACTTGACTACTAGCCCTAGGTTCTTGACCATGAGATGGGAAGGCTTGTATAGGACACCATGGCTGTTTCTGTTTGGAACTGTCAGGGATGGATGTTGCTCCGGTGAGATTCATGCTTTCGACACTTGCCAAGACAAATGGCACAAAATTGATGCTGAAATTCTTAAAGGGAGGTTCATGTTCTCTGTTCAAAGCGTTCATGACGACGATATCTATGTGGTGGGCGGCCGTTCTAGCCTCGGCCAACCAGGGAGACTAGATTGGAGCTCCTTCAAGACTCACAAAGGGGTGATGGTGTTTAAGCCCGTGACCAAATCATGGCGGAAAGTGGCCGCCATGAGGTATGCAAGATCAATGCCGGTACTTGGAGCATCCGAGGTTGGTCCGGATTTCTATTCTGGTCATCAATATCATCATCAGGAGAGGCGTTTTCCTAGGTCGAAGATTGGTGGGGTGTCCGATGTGTATGAGGATCCTCACAGGCTATCACTCAGGCGGCAGTATAATGAAGTGCCGTTCATGGCAAACAGAAAGTCTCACTCGCACTCTCACTCTCACAAGTTCATGAGGCAGAGAAGCAGCAATCGGTTGAATCCCAAATGTAGCAAGAGGTTCGTGCTGATTGCAGTGGGAGGACTCGGGCCATGGGATGAGCCTTTGGACTCTGGAGAAATCTATGATCCTTTGACCAACAAATGGTCAGAGATTCAAAGGCTGCCTGTGGATTTCGGAGCAGTTAGTTCCGGAGTTGTCTGCAATGGGATCTTCTACGTGTACTCGGAGATTGACAAGCTGATGGGGTATGACATAGAGAAGGGGTTCTGGATTGGAATCCAAACTTCCCCCTTCCCTCCTCGAGTTCATGAGTACTGCCCTAAGCTCGTGGCTACCAATGGCCGACTATTCATGCTCTCGGTCTCATGGTGCGAAGGGGATGGCCGAATTGGGCAGAGGAACAAGGCTGTAAGAAAAATGTGGGAGCTTGATCTCGTTTGCCTGAATTGGAGTGAAGTGTCGGTCCATCCTGATGCTCCTATGGATTGGAATGCCGTGTTTGTAGCCGACAGAGGGCAGATATATGGGATAGAGATGTTCAAGATATTCGGTCAGTTGCTGGATTTCTCCACTGTGTGTGATGTCTCTGATTCAGGGGCGACCAGCTGGAGGCATGTCTCTAGGAGTCATGTGGGTCATGAGCTTGATTCTTCTTCTTGCGTGACGAAATCCTTGTCTGTGCTGCATCTGTGAAAGGCCATGGCAGGATTGACTGGCTCTCTCGATGGAATTGATGCCTGTTGTTCTTGCAATTGTTTTAAATCCTCTGTGACAATGCTGAATCTGTGAAGTTTCCATGAAGTTTCTTAGTTGCAGGAGAAGAAATAGTATGAGTTGCGAATTCCATTTTGTCGATTCTTTGGATATATGATGATTTGCTTGCTGGCTTCATTTCCCTCCCCCCTGCCTTTGTTCATACAAAGATTTGTATTCTTCATCTTTGGTCATGGTTTTTTTAATAACAAACTTTATCCCATTACTGGCGTCGTTACAGCTTGAAAAATTCATATGGCTCTTGTAATAGTAAATTTGTCGGAGGTTAACTAACATGCCACATTTGTTCTTAAAAAACAGCATAAAGCACAAAACCCAGATGAACTATTTGGAAATTTCTCTACAACTGAGAAAAATCTGGTCACAATTATACAACAAAGCAAACATCTATAATATATGCAGCAGCTCAACACTCTGAGAGAACACGAAAAACAGAACTAACCATGGAATGGAATCATCAGATATGAGACTCAGAAAACTGCTCCACGTAGAATAAACAAACAACTTTCTGCATTCAACCGCCACCCAAGTTAGGAAACACCCCAGAGAAGTTGGGTATCTTATCTACATGTCTCAACGCACGCTCAGCAATTTGCCTGGTCCTGTAGTCAGCATGCTGAAACGCATCAACGAGGGCAGTCCCGACATTGTTATCCCCAGAAACCTCGTACGCGATCTCCTCGGACCTCAACAGCCTCTCCATTGCCCACACAGCTCTCCTCCTAAGATTCTCCGTCCTCTTCTCGACCAACACTTCGATGATTGGTGGAATCCCTTCCGCCTCGCAGAGCACTTTCATCCCTTGCTCGATGTCCACACCGTCCTCCAGAAGCGTGCAAACAGCAGCAAGAGCCGCCTCGACGACTTTCTCGTTGTTATGATCCAACAGGGCCACCAGTTTCTCTACCCCCTGCCCTTCCAACAGACAAAACGTCTCCTTCAAGGAACAGGTCCCCCGGTGGAGCCTACACAGCCCAGTGATCACTGGCTGTCTGCTGAAACATGGGAAGACCGATGAACACAAGCTCGGGGTGGGCAGGTCAGGCAGTTTGGTCAGGTTCTTGGACTCCTGAGACAAATTCTCTAATGCCACGGCCGAGCTCATTTGAACATTGTCGAGACCATTGGATTGAAGCAGCTCGATGAACAAGCGAGCAAGCTCGTGCTCGCGACAAAACGACACAGCATCGTGCTCGTCGCCTAGCACGAATGTGACCCGAGCGAGGACTTTGACCAGTCCCTCGAGAAACGGGGTTACAAATCGGGTCCCACGAATCTCGCCCTGTCTGATTTTCACCACTCTGGAAAAGATAAGCTCGAACGCTCCGTCATCCAGCATCTGTCGCGTGAGGCCTAAGTCTCGCTCAGGAAGCTCGGCTAAGAGACCAACAGCGGCAGCTTGCTCTTCTGTGATCCCCAAGTTTTCTGACACCACTCGGATTAAGCTCCCAAGCTGGCCCACTGTGCCACGTAGTGCATCCGCCAGCTCTTGTCCCATGTGAGGCGATAAATTCTGCAGAAGTTTGATGGAGGCTAGCCGGAGATCCTTCTGTGGAGCTTCAATGAACTGAACCAAGCTGATGATAGCTCCCGAGCTCTTGATAGCAGCTACCACGTTCAGAGCAGTGGCTTGACTACATGTCAACCCTACCAGAACCTGGAGAAGCTTGCATTCAATACCAGGGCCCGTGTTGCTGATCAAATGGAGCAAATTATGAACTATCTCTTCCGAAACCAGTGTCTGATGATCTGAACCAACCGGGATCACATCAAATTCGTACCCTGAGTTCACCACGTTGGCGAGAATTGTGGCGGAGACTTCTTTGAGACGCATGGGGAGTTGATTGGCACCCACAGTGAAGAGGTCCTTGACAAGTGGTGGAAGGATTCCTTCCTCGATAAGGATTCTGGCACTCTTCTCGCAGCATGAGATCTGGTTTAGAGCTTTCAGTGAAGCTTCTCTCGACTGTGGATTGCCACTTCTCATGATGGTGATTAGAGATGAGCCGACGGTTCTGGCCACAAGAACTTGGACGTCATTGCTGAGAACTAGCTCGCCGAGATAAGATGCCATTGAGAGCTTGGTTTCTAGAGGACCTGCAAAATGATGTTCCTCGTTATGTTACATCACAAATAAGAGCCATCGAAAGCTTTAGAGAATATGAAGATTAGAGCAAACTGAATAACCTCAAAGATGGAAAGAAGGAATGAAATAATCTTTTCCATCCAATTGTACCACAACAAACTGAAGGGAATATTTGAAAATATCAGGGTAAGTGAAAGCTGCACCTTCAAGAATGTGATTCAGAAGAGGCTGCAGTCTACCGTTCTCAGCCATCTGCCGGACATTGTTCTCACACTTCTCCAGATTCTCCAGTGTTCTGTCAGCCTTCTCAACAGTAGCAAGATTTTCAGACTTGCTACTCGTCATTCCAACCAATATCAGAATCGCTCCATTCACTGAACCTATCTTCTCACACAAAGCTTCCGATTTCGAGAGCTCATATAGCAACGCGACAGCTTGCTCCCTCTCTTTTGATTGCTCATGTGACAAAAATTTCACAATTGTGCGGACTGTATCACCTTCCCCCAATATTGCCTGCAAAACAAGAAAATCAGTATCAAGTTACTAGTTTGCATCCAAGGTAGTCAAACTATAAGCTCTACACAGAAAAAAAAAAGCATTGAACGCCAACCTTATTATCATCATCATCTTCAACCACAACTCTCAGAGTCTCCAATGCCTTACACCTCACTCTCCTACTGCTACTCTTCAACATATCAACAATCATTGGTATCAGCTCATTGTTCCTCACATCATGCTTGTTCGAACGACTCTTCTGACATATATATTGAACATATTGCAACGACTGAAGAATCTCGCTCTCCGGACTGCTCAAATTCAACGATCTTCTCGCCATGTCGAGCTGAACTGCTTCATTCCTAGCAGTCCACTCTTCAATAGTATGCCGCAGAGCTATGCTGGGGTTTAGCTCAATGCTCTTCAGCTCCTTCTGCGTTAATGGACAGACTAACTTCCTCCCACTATCCCTGCATTCCCTGAACCATCTCTCGATCGCCTCCCGTTCGAATGTCTGGCCGTTTTCCAAGCTAACAGGATCTTTCATGACTTGCTTGGTTAAAGGGCAGATGAAGGAATCATAGATTGGCTCTATGTGGAGTCTTTCAAAATGGTAGCTCTCTTCTGATTGACTTCCATGGTCATAACTCCCATCCCAACTATCAGCCATAATCACATCTACTAAATGCTCTCTGATCAATAATTCTTTAACCTAAATCTACTATAAATAGGCAGGATAACTAACCACAATTTGCCTAATTAAGGAAAAGTAAGAGATTGAGACATTGGGTTCCCCTTGAATCCTGAAATGGTATCAAAGCAGACTAAAAGCAACAGACTTTCTCCAACCAGCAGTTCCCAATTCTTATCAGAAGTGGAAAGAAAGAACGAAGTAAACAAGGAAACCCATACCGCCAAAATCAATCGGAGAGTGGAGAAAACCCTAACTCTGCCAATAAAGGCTGTCCACGAAGAACAAAAGAGCGGAGATGAATTGGAATTTCCATGGACAAAGATTCGGCTGCGAAGAGATACGATTGGGTAAGAAAGAAATAGCGGAATTGGGTTGAAACAAATGGGGGCCGCCGGCGGAAGGGAATCGACTGGAACGATTTTCTTTCTTTCTGCAGCTGGAGATTTTTTGTTTTTATTTTTGTTGGGTCTCGTCGAAATTGGAAGAAGAAGAAGAAGAAGATAAACGACAAAAGGAACCCAACAAAGAGTAAATGGTTCAGAGGTTCTCCGTACACCCCTTTGTTGTATTTGGACAACGACGAAGAAGGTTGACTCCTAGTAAATCACCGATGACGGAAGAGAGAGAGAGAGAGAGAGACAGAGTGTGTGTTGAAATGGAGGAGATGGTGGGGTTTGGTGCTGTGCCAAGCTGTCAACGCCTAATTATTTCACCTGATTAAGAAAATTGGCCAGTGGGAGCCATCGGATTGCCGGGAAAGCAGCAGCTCCGGCCGCCTCCGTCAGGGCGGCAATCCAGAGTGGTTTTGTTTGTATACTTGAAGGCCAGGCTGGGTTGAGTACCCTTTCTTCATTGAAATCATTGACGCAAAAATGTTCAGGTGAAAAAAGAGAACCGCCATTAACAAACGTCTCCCTAGCGCGGGAAATTTCTTGCCGCCGTCAGTTGAGGTTTTTACTTTTTAGTCGTGAGGCCGTGACAGCTCCCGGCAACCTTAAACTACGTCAGTCGCCCTTATATTAATCCACAATTGATCTTTTAGTCACCCAATTTTAATTGTGTAATAATTTTGGTTCAGCTTCCTCTACGTTTTCATCCAGCTTTCTTAATTTTGAAACAAATCATATTAAAAAACTTTGGAGTAGCTAATAAAACAATCACCTTGTCCAACAATGTAGTAATCACTAAAAAGACCAAACCAAACCAGAAGGTGTGAGCAAATTTCATCTTCAAAAGTCTTGGCTAACAGATTGGTCGACTTTTAGCCTCCGCCTCAATTCATTCTATCAAAGCCTATATGGTCTCACATTCATAACTATGCACATCTGCGATTCGGTCTTCAATCACTCTTCTTCAAATGATCGAATCGTCTACAAAATTGCAACCCGTCGTCCTTTTTCCAGGGAGTGAACATTGTTTCACTTACAGGTTGTTAACATATATCTTCAGCGAAGATGATGTCGAAGATTGATTGCACTGCAAAGAAGAACGAGCAAACGTAATCAGGATGCAGAACCTCTATGTTGCCTTAGTGCTGATGCGCGCACATTCTCCCGAGGAAACTAGTTTAGCATTTGCTCCTTACCTTCTTCTTTGGGTATATTAGGCTGAATGGCTGATCAACCAAGAGCTGGTGAAGGGCACTCAGATCACTGGAGCTGCAAAAGCAACATGAAGGCTGATTTTATACTATGAATACCTCACCAGCAATCAATAGCAGCAGTAGCAACGCAATGTCAATTTCCTTGAGCAAGGTAGTTAAAACCGTGATTGTACTCATAAGAATCTTCGGATTTTACAATCTAACACATGAGTTTCGATCCGAAACTTGCTAATAAAATCGATGGGCATCAAAACCAGGTTAAAATCACAATTTGCATCTGGTAAAATCTATGCAGTATTAAACTATTCTACAGCATTGACGGACCCAGAATTTTTTTACAGGGGTGTCCTCTTTTAAAAATAAATTAAATAAAAATAATTAATAATTAATAAAAATAAAATCGTAAATTTGAAAATACCTTACTCGTACAGGTTAAAAAAGTTCATGATTTGTTTTCATATTCGGAAATAATTGTAGAATACACTTGGTGTTTATAGTGTTAACAAAATTGTCTCTATATACCCTACTAGACAATCATTCACGAACTTATCGCATATTCGATTTGTAAACTTTTTCTCCATGTAACCCAAAGCTGAAAGACTCTTTCAACACTTGCCGTATTAAGGGTGGCTTGAAATTAGTTTAATTGTTAGGTTTTTAAAATAATTAGAGATAGGAAATGACATTTTACTTTTACATTTTTCAAAATCGAATAACAAATGAGTTGTAGGTCAACGAAAATTAAATTTATTAATAAGAATAGTGTTCTATATTTGAATTACCCAATCTACCACTTATATTCCTATAGACAAATGACAGTAGGATAATCATGTTTTCAAATTTCAGGGGTGTCCCTCAATATAATTTTTTTTTTGTCCATACGTAAATTACCACCGGGAATAGGATAATCGTATTCCCAAAATTTAGGGGTGTCCTAAACCCCCCGGGTCCGCCCCTGTTCTACAGCATGGTCTATGAGTTCTAATCCTGAGCTCGTTGCGAAGTCGAGATCACGACCTACCTGGATTTCAATGTAAGAGACGAAAGTGCTGAAACCACAGATGACTTGAGAACGTACCTGATAGAAAAAGTTGGTTAAGTCCCACAAATTGATCCATATGAAAACTCTGTACAGAAATAAACACAGCCATTACTCGGATTGATGCATATCATGAAGACTCAGAAGGCCGTCCAAGCAATAGGCTAGTGATGGTTTAACTCCAATTCGAAGCTGCAATTGCTTGGTAGTGATAGCCTGTGCAGAACCCCTGCTTACCAACTGTTTACAATCGCGATGCATCTTCTCAAGAGACAATACAATAAGATGAAACTCTTCCCTGGAAAATGCAGAAAGCCAGTTCAAACTTATCAACTGTCCAAGTAATCAAATTGAAGAAACTTACAGTGTTGCGTTCATGCAGCGGAAAATGGCGCCAAGTGACTCCATCTGCTTTCTGAAAACCACATCTTTAACTCCATTGATGCTATTCAGAGCTCCGTAATTGGCAGAGCTTTGAATCGCCTGCCCGTTAAACAGATAATGAACTCAAGCCCATAACTTTTGCTCCAGAGATTCAGCAAGTAAAGCAGGATAGAAAGCTCACCTGTAAGCGATCGACGATGGAAGAAGCGTTCCTGAATTGGGAAAGAAGACGGGATTGAAGAGCTTCCCATCTCTCCATTTCATCCTTTACCCTTCTGAACCGCTGCTGATAATTCTTCACCATTCCCTCCATTGTTACACTCTTCAACCGCTTAAGCCCGCCAAAATCCCCAAATTTAGATAAACCCTACGAAAATTTTCACAGGGCTAGTATTTTAGGACATACGTGTGACGTCATGAGTTAAAAAGACCGAAATGTCACTAAAGTTGGAAGCTGGTTTAACTAAAGAGGACTCCTCGCCCAATGGCGAAATTGGCGGGGGCGGATGAAATTGAGATGGAGGGGAAGAAAACCCATGAGATGACGGTGCTTGAGGATGAACGGAATCGATTGGGCGAACTGGTAGATGGCTTAGAAGGAGAGGAAGATCGGAATCAAGCTATTTTGAAGCTTCTCGATTCCATGGATCACTACTTAACCCAAGTCGATTCTCTGACTTCTACGCTTCGTCAGGTAATCCCCGTTCCTGATTCTCTGAATCCATGGTGGCCAAAGTCTGCAACTTTCCTGTGTTTCTCGGTGTGGGAAATGCTGGTAATGGAAAATTTGACTGGCGATCCCTCTTTCTTTGTTTTGCTAGGGGTGGCTGGACTTGGCGAGCGCCAGGCATTCCATGGGCACTGCGCGCATCAATTACACCTTGCTGGACCTCAAAGAACACGACGCTTCTACTTCATTGCGGGTTATCTCAGATGATGATGGTGTTGCGGTAGATGATTCAACGGGGAAGCAAAAACCACGATTTCAGTTGCGGAAATGGGGATCCTTGGACAAGCAGAATTTCTCTGCTGAGGAGCATAAGGAATCCTCAGGCAGTTTAAAGCAAAGACATTGTGGCGATTCCCAACCTCCTGGTATTCCTTGCGAACTACTACGTTGCTGGCCTAGAAACAAAGTGCTTTCCACAAATGCTGAATACGTTCTCAATTGTGATTGTTTTTGTGTTTGCGTTTTGTATGAAAAGCATCCTTAGCTTTCTATCGAGTTGCGGCTTAGTTTTCTTTTCGCCTTACAGAAGATGCTAGCAAGTCTGAAAATGGAGCTCAGCTTGAGACTGATGACAGGGTGAGTACCTATGTTGAAGTTGTTCTTTTGCTCGGGCTAATATAAAGGAAAGAACACCCCTGTGGTTTCATCGTAGATAGAGGGTTCAATTAGAACTGGAATGACGAAGCTTCTAATTATCAGTTGTCACGCTTCTGGAATTGAAATGATCTTTGGGGATTGATTGCTCATATGAAGTTAATTTAACATTATGGTGTCTGGCAGGTAAAGAATGAGCGGTCCAAAACCCTTGCTGTGTTCGGAACACTGGTTTCTCCGAAGCTTCGAGCTTCCCAACTGTCATTTGAGAAAGGTAAACTAATGTACCTAACTAAACCAGCTAAAATTTTGGTGATGACGACTGTGTCGCTTACTAATGTTCACATGGTTATGCAGCAATAGAGATGATTGTAGAGATAGCTAGTCTTCGTTCGGAGATCCTTCTTGCGTCAGATCAAGTCCAAAGACTGTTGGAGGGTGCGAAGAGGGTCACATAGAGGTTGATAGTCAGGTATTTACAAGCCAGTTGTTCTTAGCCCCATCAATCATTCCGATCTGTTCTTCTTGCAATGATCATGAGGTCATGGTTGAATGTACAAAAGTTCATCCTAAAAAATTATCAGTTTCTCTGTGCATCATTTTCTTGTTCCTGTGGCTTACACAAAATCCTTGAATCTTTTCTATTGGTTTCCAGTGCCCAACTGAGCCGATCTGTTCTATTAGGGCTAGTGTTCCGTGAAAGTGATTCTAATGAGTAAAAGAGAGAAGATTCTGCTGAGAAGGAACTGTTTTCAGATTTGTGTACAGTTGAAAGTCATTCTTTGAAAGATAAAAAGTGGGTACGCTTTATCACCCTAAAATTTTTACTACTGTTTCACTATTTGTCGCTTTGCGGAAAGGGGGTTTGTGTTCTCCGTAGGGTGGGTGGTCGCGGCGGCCAGAATGGCTTCGATTGGGTCGGATCAGAAACAAATTCCACACGCTTTCCGTAAGCATGTTCCAGTTCGCCCCTACCGCAAACCCTGCAATGAAGTGTGTTCTTTTTGTCACCGCGTCGCTTCACCATTCCCGGAATCGCCGGTCTGCCACTCATAACCCACACCAATGACCAATGTCACGACTCCTTCCCGATGCTATCAGCTACTCCCGCACGCCACCTCCCATGTTAGCACGTCGTCTCTCGCATCTCTCTTCTTCAGTAGAGATTCATTTTCCAATCTATATTTTGGGTGAGGAGCGAGAGTCAATTAGGAGGAGGAGGAAAATGAGAGCATTACCATCTCATACTTCGTTTCCAGATTGGAGAATCATTGTCGCCGAACGAGCCTGCTGTAGTGCCGAATGATGTAGTCGGAATCGAGGGGAGGCGGAGGGAAAGGAGAGCAGGCGACGATTAGGTTCGGGATGTGAGGGTCAGGCTGGGAATAAACGGAGTCGGATGTCGAGGTGCCTGTGTTGATTCCAGCGGTGGAGAAGAGCCGTCGAAGAAGGTCGGTGTGGGGGTGAAGCAGGGTGGATAATGATGGGTTAGTTCTACGCTTATTTTCTTCTTCTTCTTCCTTCCGTTGTGTGCCCCGAAATTATGATACTGTGTTTGAATGTGTTAGAGGTGAACACCCTTTTCTATTAAAATGCAGCTACTTTATTCCTAGAACAAAATGGCTTTGTACAGGTTGGCCAAGGGTTATGCTTTTGTGAAGTGCACAAGCAAAGGGGCTTTAGTGTTCTTACGACTTCTTTCACTTGCTGTTCTTATTTCAAAGATTGTATCTTATTGATACTTGGTTCTGTGTGCAGTCTGTTGTTGAGTAATTTCCCCATCTCACTGTGGCATGACTGAACAAATAGTTCATTGGATTCTCATAATATAGGCAAGGTCTTTCATTGTTTGCTCATCTTGATTTGATGCTATCACCTCTACTATTGCATCATTACGATGCTTTTGATTCTCTGGTCGGTGGGTAGATAATAGATTATAAAATGACTCGATTGTGGTTGATAATGGCGTTCTCTGTTTTTATGAATAATAATGGAGGTTAATGTATATAAAATTACCCTTTTCTCCTTCACCATAAATACGAAAACAAGGTTTCACAAAACTTGAACAAGATTGACTTCAGAAGATTTGTGGTGTTTGGTTGCACATGAACATGGGTGAGGATTGGACAGATTCTTTTATAAATTAATTTTTTCTTGATTTTGAAAAATTATTGATTTGACATGTGAGCTTTGGTTGGATTATAGGTAAGCTTTAATTTGCTTCTCTTGGATTCAACAAAGAACACGGTTGGTGCCAACAAGCTTTGATAGTAATGTTTATGTTTCTATGATGCATGGTTCGTGGCTGATTTGCTTATAGCAGGTAGTCTCAATTAAAGTTGTTTCTTCAGTTTTATTTTACCTTCTTTGTTAGATTCAAATTCCCTTATATCGCTTAGTTTGATAGAATGTATCAACCCAAATCACAGGACGAGGAAGCAAAGGTAACAACAAAGGACCGGTTGGATATAGTGGAGTTCACGCATTGAACTGAAGTCAACAATCATTCATGGGCAGCCAACAATCATTCATGGTACAGATCAAATGATCAATGTTGTTTTATCTCTTCCCCTTTATCTTTAGTTCATTTAGCTTACTACCTGATGTGTTAGGCCTCTTTACGAAGTTGAGATGCTTGATTGATGCCATAGAGCCTCCATTATCAATTGATAGCGCCAGTTTACGTGTCTTTTTATGCAACCGTATAAATTGAGAAATGTAATTTGCTGCAACTAATAACTACAATGTGATTACTCAAAATCCTTATTTCAGTTTCAACTTATAGTTTGAAAGCTTTAACTGGGGTTCTTAATCATTACTCGGGGACTGGTTCCTTTTCCTTTGGTGGTGTCATCTTCTTAGTTCTTACAGTTGTTTTTGCCATCATTTGTGTTTGTTTATTTTTGTTTTAGGTGTTCACTCGGATTCTATAAAGGGACGCGCTTTTTAGTAGAACGTCGCTAGAAGGCGATGATCCATTGGCGTTTGTAAGGCTCGCAGCTACAACACTTTTACCTTATCTTGAGGTCGGTACCAGTATAATGCATCTATATGCGTTCCATTCATTTTCGCTACCATATTTAATATATGCTTATCAGCTGGTTCTCCATCTGGCAAGCCCTTTTGGAGACCAGTTCTCTTATATGCATTCAGTTTAGATAGCTCAACCAACTGTAGCTTTGACGCAAAACTCATTCATTTACTGGTGGCTAGATGCTCTACTTTGTCATTGTCCTCTTTGTTTGTTTAGTGTTCTTCAGCCCTTGGTAATATGCTTTGTTCAAATGCCAAGACATTTGTTAGCTTATATAGTTATATTTATTACTTTTATGAGGACTTTCTCCTCCTTGCAATACTCTTGGCGATCAAGTTTACCTTTACTACTTCTTCACTTTAAAGTTCAATCATTGGTTGTTTCCTTTCAAACTTTGGTGAACATTTCATAGTGCCATAGTTGAATGACTATGGTTTTTGGTTTGAAATTGCTCTTATGTTTCTTATCTCAATGTCATATGTTGCATATGTTTTCTGTAAGTGATTACAAGTTTTGGTTGGAAAGCTTTTGTAGGCCATTTACTGCACTCTTTAGTGACACTAACCAGTTTCAATTATATAGCTTCCACCTCCTTGGGTATGGTTGACACATCAATTCTATCGAGCAGATTGGACTGCTTATGCTACTAAAAAAAATTCAAATTATTTTTCCTGTTAGCTCAGTTATTGTGTGTTGATGGAAACCTGCAATCTCATTATATCTTCCCTTAGAATGAGAGGCACATCAATTTCAGCAATAAGTTTTAAGGTCTTACCTTATTCTTAGCTTTCATATTAAGCTGGTTGCTCTTCATTCACTTTTTGTATTTCTTCTGATTCATGCAACTAAATTCATTATTTATCATGGATTTCCATAGAGTAACAGCTATGCTTCCTCATCACCTAGAATTTTAATGTGAATGTTTGTTTATGTTAGGATTCATGGATTTCCGGAGGATATTTTTTCTGTCTCATTTTGTTGTGGTCCTGCAAAACCTCTTTCGGACTACTATTAGTCCTGAGGCTTATCGCAGGAAACTGTCTCTTCCCTTTTGAAGGCGATCCCGTATTTGTAGCAAGGACTTCGTCACCACACAAGCCATTAGCTTCGACCATCATGAGGTGTTTCAGTTGCTGCAAGTGCCAGCCCTGACGTTGCCCAGCTCCAGCCTTTTGCACATGAAGTCATCGTTGAGTGAGTCCAAGGAAAGTACTTTGCGTTGGAAGTATACTTTTATGATATGCTTCATTGGAACAAGATATGATCGTCACAACTCTTTAGAGTCCCCTTTGTTAAAACATTCATCGAATTTAGATAAACCAGCCAATGATCATCGCATATGCATATTCTCTAAATATATCCTTCCCCTTATTTGTTTTTCTCTTCTTAATTCATTAGTCCCTTTTGTTTCTGTGAGTTAATCTAATTTCAATTGCATATTTCGGTATTGGAATTATAACAACCAGAAACTGATGTATTCAGGAAGTTTGGAGATCATTCAACAAGTTGAAAGAAAGGTAATTAGCTGCACTTTCTTCTTAGTTCAAAGTGAAAACCAGTACAAACCACCTTTTTTCTGGATTTGTAGGGTTAAGTATTCTTAATCTTTTCCATATCTCTTGGATTCGCAAAAGCTAACCTCGCTGATGGTTCAGGGGAGTTTTATGATGCGTACTTGAATTCTTCTTTTCTTAGTGCAACTTGAAACACAAGGGAGGTATACTCCTTTCATAGAGTGCGCTTTCACTCAAACATGTTATAGAAAATGTGTTGATTCTATTGTAGGACTTTCAAGCGAAAAGATTCAGTATGGTCCCTTTAGTACCATTTTTTGGAGGGACTCTAGCTTCCGGAACTTTACCGTTTCTGATTATCAATGTTGTTTTGTACATATCTTTTGATTTAATATATCTGCATATATTCTCTGTCGTGTATGTCCCCCCCATGTATTTTCTTTCAATTTGGCTGCACTTACAGAGAGACCTCTGGAATCTGTTACCTTTCTTTGTCATACCATAGTTTTTTCAGAATAATAAGTCTCCGATTACCTTCCATGGATGCGGTTTTAGAATTGCTTGCTTTACAAACCTTTTTTATTTTTTTGTAAAAAACCTGTTTTTTCTTTTTCTTTCTCTTCTTACAGGTGAAAGCTTTATTGCATCGGAAGAGAGAAAACAAGGAACAGATGATTACAAAAGAAAAAAGAAAAAACGACGGAGAAACTACAGAGGAAATTGGTGTGGAGGAGGAGATAGGTTGTCGGACTTTACAGGACATCTGAAACTTTGCAGGTAGTTCTCGCTTTGTGTTGAACAAAACATTTTGAACATGAAACACTAATGCAGAAATTTGTATCTTCTATGGGTCAATTTCTGCCTGAAAACTCAAGGAAATGAAAACCAAAAAGAGTGGTGGAGAAGGGAAGAGTAAGGCGAAATTGACTACACTGAGAAACCAAACCGTCCTCTGGAGACAAATACAAGGGGTGCATTTACACTATGATTTGGTTTTTCATGATGTCTGTTTTTACCTTCCCGAACAATTAAGTTTGCTTTGGCATAATAAGAACGATTCCTGCTCAATTGATGCAGTTATGGCCGGGTACACTTTTGGGCCTTCTTAAGATATTAGTTTTGCATCGACAGAGAATTGAATGGTTACATTGTCAATTGATACATGATATCAGAATGAGAATGAAGCGAGGGACTATGTCTCTACAAGCTCAGGGAATCCAAACTTCTTCATCACCGTGGCTGAAGGTCACATGGAAAATTATTACATTGTAGGTTCATCCATTTCCATCAAACGAAATTGCCTTTTTCTCCCCAAAGGAAGTTTGGCATAACCAAATTTGAAGCTCACATATTTTTATAATATGCCTATACTTGGAGATATCTCTCATCTGTAGCAACCGGGGAAAATACTTGGATTTTACTAATTGTTTTGTATTTAGTTATGAAAAGATTTTGGACCTTAAACATAATTTGATGATTGAGAGCACCATGCTAATTGACTATGCAACTCGAGATGCGAAGGTTTGCCAACTACACTTCCAATATTCTGAAATTCAGCCCAGCGACAAGAATACAACAAACTCAGTTGATAGGAACTCAGTTTGCCATCAAATTGTCAGCCATATGATCATGTTAATGCAAATTTTGTTCCTGCGTAGCCGCGGGTATTAATTCTAGTAACTTTAATGGGTCAATACCTCAATTTGATTGGGCAAAATGTGGGTTAATTGCATGTCATGCCACTTAAGTTTTGGTTTGGTTGCACGTTAACCATTTAGATTTGTTTAGTTGCAACTAAAACATTTAAGTTCAATGTTTGTTGCACCGTCATCTTTTCCATCAAAAAACTTAACGACGAGTATGAAAAAATAATTTTACATGCCACATGGACATTCTAGCGCAGCTTTGGACTGCTGACTCACATAAGCTGGGTAAACTTAAGTGGCATGACATGCAATTAACCCCCAACATAGCCCCTCCAAATTAACAAAAGAAAAAGCCGCCTCCTTTCGTCAAATTCACCTCGTTTTATTATCCTCCCAAGGAAGAGAAGAAACGTTTCGGTTTTCAGGGTCATCAATCCCACACGAGAGCAATCCTTCTCCATTCCTGCTTGCTTCTCGCTAAGATTGGGGGGAAAGTGGCGGCCAAGCAAACAGTGCAATCGTATAATCATCCAGTCATTTCAAGAACGAGCACGACCAAGCCGATTTTTTCATTATTAGGCAACAAATTTCCATTGTCGCCGCCTCTCTTCTCTCGACCCAATTCTTCGTTTCCCAACAAATCGGTCATCGCAAAATGCAGCGGCGACGATAATCTGAAGGATGCGCTCAGCGGCATGGTGGGCAAGCAAGTTGAGGAACTATTGGGGAGAGAAGATAACAAAGCGTTGCTTGATGAGTTGGAGAAGGCTTCGGAGAGAGTAGAGATAGCAAGAAGAGAGCTTGTCGAGATTGAAAGACAAGAGCTTGCCGATATTGGTTTTGAATCTCATGCTCATTGAACAATGATAAAATTGAAATCGTCGAAAGAAAATAAAAAACTCAGATCATTGTAGAAGCTAAAACAAATAGAATGTCCATGTGGCATGTAAAATTACTTTTTCATACCCGTCGTTAAGTTTTTGGATGGAAAAGGTGACGGTGCAACGAACATTGAACTTAAGTGTTTTAGTTGCAACTAAACAAATCTAAGTGATTAACGTGCAACCAAGCCAAAACTTAAGTGGTATAGCATGCAATTAACCCGCAAAATGTAAAGCATCATCTGGAGAAGACATATTTTCTCGTTGAATATTACAAAAATAGGACCATTTGTGGTCAACTGGTCATACTAATCGTCTGTGTCATTCCAATTTTATGGAATGTCCCTGAATGTCATTTGGAGAGAACATATGATTTAAGAAAAACCCAAAACATTTTTGCCATGCATCAACATTGCGAAATGACTCGAAGAAGACACGGTAACATCAAAATGTCCTGTTTTTCTTATTTGTCAAAGGAGACATTTTACCATAATGTCTCATCACATCTTATCCAAACAAATCAATAAGATTGCATGGAATTCGGTCGCTGAATTCACAGGCTAAAACAGAAGAAAACAAAACATCTGTTCTTTTTTGTAAATTTATGTACCTTAGAGTTCCATCCAAAATTGAGGAACAAGAAAAGGGAAGAGAGAAGAGAGAAGCACATGAATACATGATACAATGATATAATGCGAATCTAAAGAACAAAAACCGCACGAAATACAACAGGCTTACAGTCATGTCGACCAAGCTCTACACTAGTACAATTCTCAGCTCACGCTATACATAACAAAAGCAAGCATTCCTTTTCCAAAATGAAGATATCCATTGCCGCCGACAACACTGAACAATCCCTCCTCTCTCGATGGTATTAATATACTGGAGTAATCAGCAAACTCCGGAGTGGTAAAACTGGACACATTTTCAGCCCATTGAATTGAAGGGAGAAAAAGATAGGGATTTGGCTTTTGGCTAGAAGGCATTCCAACTGTCAGAGCTTTTCTTAGGACTGTGATGGGGGTCCGACGAAGAGGAAACTTTGAAAGGCTCACTGGACCCAAAAGGGTCTCCATCATCGAACGAAGAGAATGAACGGTCGTATCCACCACCACCACCACCACCACCACCACCAAAGTCCTTGCTGCTATTTATGGAGTCGAACCTCGAAAGCGTTGCCTTCTGTGGCGAAAACCCGCTACCGTCGTGCATGCTGAAGGAGTCGAACCTCGAGAAGCTGTCAAATTGGTCACCGGCTTCACTAAACCTCGGAGAGTTGGCAAACCTGGACATGGGAGAGCCAGCTACAGATTCCTCAAAGAATATGCTCTTCTTCTGGAAAATGTGGTCTGTTGTGCTGGTTGGAGATCCAGATGTCCTTATTGGCTTTATGCCGAAATCATCGCCGCCAAAGAAGTCTTGGTGCTTCTCTGAATCAGTATCCTGTTGACAATGACAAAGTTGTGGTGATACAGAATGGGTAAAGCTTTAGTTAATGCTTTGGAATATCAACTGAAACTACATTTTAGGGGTTAAATGCCTAAATGGACAGTAAAATATAGCGTCTGTAAGGAAAATAGCCACTAAACTAATAAACTTAACGAAGTGCCAACTGGAAACTAAATGGTTATGTAATACAGAACAGTTGATGTGTCTTATTCTGCCTACCAGCCATTATTACGACTGAGTTAGCATGTCACATAGGTTGGTCGCGTCTCTAAAATTGCCACGAATCGAATTATAAGTTCGTAAGTGGGTGCTTGGACTCTAATTGTGAGATTTCAGCAACGCAGACAGGTTATTATGCATGGGGACTAGCTGAACTAATGACGTAGTAGACGGAACAAGATAAAGTGACTACCAACTACTTAGTCTAGTTAGCTTTTTTACTTTTTAGTTACTTAAGTTGGTTTCAGGACAAACCTTGGCGCTGGCAGGATTAAATCCCCATACGGAATCCACGTCGTCGTTCGAGTCAAATGCTGCACCCCATGCTGAATCGTCGAAACTTCTAAATTCCAGACAGAGCAAATACAGTTTCAAGATCAGCAAAGGTAACACTACAGAAAGGAAGATACTGAAAAATGGACATGTATATACCTATGAACTTCTGAATCTCCTTCAGTGCTCTTTGCAAAAACATCAGAGAAGTCCCGTGAAGGGGTCCTTCCAGCAGGGCTTCCATGAGGGCTTCGTGCCACCGATTCAACTTCACTGTGAGTGTATGCAGATTCATTCTCCTCGAGGTTATGCTCATGATCATGAGTGTTTCTGAAGTTCCCGGATTTTGCATTACCGTTGGACAAAGAATCTGGAGTTAAGCTACCACTTGGCGATGCTATTCCATTTTGGACAGCATTGGCTGTTCCGTTTGCAGCCTCAGAAACGTTTTTCACATCAATAGTGAGATCATGGCCAAAACCTGACCAAACACAGATTTAGATCTTTAGCGACATTATTTACAGAAACTTATTGGAGGTATAGATACCACATAGGACAGCACTTGGGATAGATTCTTAGACATTTGGTATAGGATTTGACTAGCATACCCCACTTTTCAGGGGGTATGAAATGGATTTTCCTCACAAGCATCAGAATGAATTCGTTATGATTCAGTTTTGTCACACTATTAGACTAATGGTAAAGATTATATTTTAAATTGGGTGATCAAAGTCTATCTACAGACATACGGGCATAGTAATTTTTTTGTTTTTGTTTTCATCTGGTAAATTACAAGGTGTAAGATATCTTCATTGAAATTGATTAAGCATACCTTCATCTTCGAACTTATCCCATTCTTCATCCCAAGGAACGGCATTTTCTTGAATTCCAGGTTGCCATCCTTAGTAATCATCGAATAAGAAAACACAGGTGGGGGATAAATGGCCCAAGTTAGAACCGGTGTCATGTCAGAGTGATTGGTAATGAGAAATTGAGGATTGGTTAAAACTGAAACACCACATTTCATAATAAGTTAAAAGATTCGCCTAGGATTGGAGTACCAAATGGAAGCTCGACCATAGCAGTCGACTTGATATCCAAATTGTGCTTCTTGGAACGTTCGATTAAAACCTTCGTCAATTCATCCAGATCTGACTGTATACGATCTGCACGGACCTGTAAAAATACATTGAATTGAGCAAGGAACAATTAGGGGCACCTCTTAGTATATAAATTGTGATTGGGAAAGCTGCTGTAAGTAAATACCTGAAGAAGGCCGTCGGCACTGCCACCTTGTTCCATGTTAACGATTGCTTGATGCAACTCCTTCTTTCGTTCCTATCAGCCAGTCGATGATTAATATATAATACATGAGTTGACAGTATCATTTCTGGACAACTGATACAAAAGATTCTTAACAGTAAAAGCATAAAACTGGCAAACCCAAAATGGTACGGACACTAACTTTGGTGAGCACGTTTATCTAACCACAACGTGAATATTTTTTCCTTGAAAATATAACTGAATATAAAAATCAACTAGACTAGAGACTCATAGACCAGTCTCACTAACCCATCACTGAAGTTTACACAAGAAGTGAAAGGAACTTGTTACCTGAATATCCCGAAACTGGGCTTCTTCAATAGTTAGTTTAGAGGCCACTTCAGCAACCTGCTTGTACTTTTCTTCATACTTCTTACCCAAGATTTCAGCCTGTCAAGCAAGTTTTAAGACACCCGAGTTTTTACAATAGAAGTCAGATCCCAGAAGATGATAAGTAGGCTTGAACTCAATTAACATACCTCACGCTTATCTGCTAGTGCTCTTTCTGTGATCTCATTAAGCCGATTGTCACATCTGCTCTTATATAGAACCTACAAAACAATCCAGACATAATAAGAACAGATTCGTAAAAAAAAAAAAAAAAAAAAAAAAAAATACTAAATACATAAAATAAATAAAATAAGAACCAGAAAAGGGTATAAGATCCATGATATGATGAAATGTAGGATTTTATGGGATTTGGGGAAGGATAAGGATATGATACAAAGCAAGTGACAGCAGGAGGTTCACACTTATACCATATTAACAAAAATACAATGTTTATCAGATAATCAAGCACTTTTGTCAGCATAGAAGCTTCTATATAATGTGAAGTTTGGATTCTATATGATTTTATTTGGCTACTGACTGCTTGGCTTGGTTTGAACAGTCATTCAACTTACTCCGACCACCCAATTACACCCGAAAACGAAGTTCTTTCAACTCTATAGGGGTCATTTTTCTTTCGTATCTCCTGGTATGCACACACCTTTCAATTTCCTCGATACAAACCTGTATTTTTAAGAAGTATAACAAAGAAGAAGAAAAATTATATACTTACAAGATCCTGCATTTTACTGCGGTAGTACTCAATTTTCTCTCTGGAATCCAATATCAACTTCTCTGCTCCTTCAGCCTACATAAGATACAAGAAAAAAATTTATGCTGCACATATAGCGTAATCAACCTAGAGTGTCATAATAAAAGCTATATATCTGATTCCATTATTCTTCACATAAGGCAATAGGTTTCACACGCCATCTTGGACTGTCTTCAGAAGCAGCAAAAGGTCAAATGAAAAGAAATTTCAATAGCACAGAAACATGATACGAGGAAGTGCCTTTTTCTCTGTAGTTGCATCTTGCGGGATTGCATTCCCAGAATCGCCATTCTCACGACTCAGAAAGGAGTCATCCAACACAGGAGCTCCAAACTTGTTCTGACTGGACACAGCTGCAACATCATGCTGAGGTCCAGGTACTGGAGCTGGTGGTCTCAAGCCAGGTGCAGGACCCATTGGTGGTCGAGGGCCCATTCTTGGCTGCTGAGCAAAACCTAGCCAAATAGCAACACCCACAAATATCAACAAAAATCTCAGATGCCAAAGTAGAACAATGGACGGCTGAAAAACCAATCCTAGAAGAAAAGCTGTACCAGCACCAGGCCCCCATGCAGCATTTCCATAAGCAACCTTAGGTTGGCCTGTCATTGACATCAGTGTTTCGTCGAACATCACATTACGGGGGAGGGAGGGTGGCAGAGGACGACCTTCCCTGAACCTTTCCATTAAATAGAGAGCAAAGCAGAACTCCCTCAAAGAAAGCATGCTATCACTATCCTGGTCAGACAAATCCCAGACCTGCTTCAAGACCTCTGAAAGCAGAGGCATTATACCAGTTAATATACTTAAACCACTGAGTACAGTAGGGATTTGTTACGGTAGTAAGATATTCACATAGAAACCTAGGTCAAAGATTTCCAATTATCTGTTATATCATAAGCACCAGGACACAAAGTAAGAAATCAAGTAGTTACCTATATGGTTTAAGAAACTGTAGTAAGCAACACCACATCAAACATTTAGTTCCCTGTAATGCCATTATCCAGTACACTACTTCTGAACCAAGCACTATGCGAGCAAATAAATTTTATATGGACAGAGAATGCGAGACTAGAGGCATCGTAAATCAAAGAGCAATTACCTCTTGGCAACCTCCAGCTTAGAAAAAGGGTGCGCGCCTGCTCACCGGTAATCTTTCCATCCCGGTCCGTGTCTACTTCCATGAACACCTTTGTGTACTTCTGAATTTCTGCTGCTTTCATCTTTGGCCACACAGGCTGGGAGTTGTTGTCTAAGGTACTTCCTAGTCCAACAGAAGTCACAGGTGAAGCAGGTAAAGCAGAACTTGAAGCAGAAACCTGCTGCCCTATTGTCGGCAATGATTGGGCCCGTTGAAGACCGCCAAGGGATTGCTGAAAAAAAGCATCCTGCAACGAGCCAAGCGAGTTGGACTTGATAGGGGCTTGACCAAGGGAAGAGACCGGGGCAAGAGCAGATGTCGGGGATGGATTAGCAGCAGAATAAGTTGGTTTTGGAGGTTCCTGCTTTTTTGTAGAAGGAGAAACTGAGAACATGTCATCTCCGAAGGAAGAAGTAGTTGCCGACACATTGCCAGAAGACACTATAGCTTTGGAGTCAGTAACAATAGATGGTGAAGACATAGAACTTGGAGTTAGTTGCTGCAAACTAGTAGTTGGGCTGGCAGCTCTAGGTCCAGCACCAGGTATAGATACGCCACTTCTTCCACCCAGCCAATCAGTCGTAATACCAGAAGTTGATGCACCAAGACCACCACCAGCACCAGCCATGGATTGTGGGGTTGGACGATAAGCAGTACCAGTAGACATTGGCTGAGAGCTAACCATCATGCTAGCCTGAGGCAGTTGAGGAGCAGCTGCAGGAGAAATTGTCTGAGGTGGTCGAGGGGCTGCCACAGGAGATATTGCCTGAGGTGGCCGAGGGCCAGATACTGGAGTAATCGGCTGACCTGGTCTCATAAACTGATTTTGTTGAGATGGAAAGTAATTTGGGTTCATACCCATAGTTGGAGCACCTTGTGGTCTAATGCCAGGACTCTGAGCTGACGCTGAGGCAGGCATGCCCATCTGTTGAGCACCCATTGAGCCCGCTTGAGCTGCAGGCACAGCTGCAAGATTAATTTGTGGTGCTGGGATTTTGGCCGCAGCAGGACCATATAGCGCAGCCTTCACAATCTCAGGTGTCAGCTCTCTCTTGCTCTGTGCAACAGTCACGAGCTTAAGAGCATTGTAAAATTCTGCTCGACCGAGGAAGCCACTGCGACTTTGATCAGCATGCATCCAAATCTGCAACCCGCATCACAGAAACACTCAGCAAACCATAGACAACATCATAATGAGTTTTGGCCCATTCATTATAGCCAGTGCCAACTTTAGTTTGTTATTACATACCATCTCGTTTCCTCTTTCAAGTGTCATAAGTACATCCTAAGGTGATAAAAAAAAAAAAAAAACTTCCTCCCATAGAGATTCTAGCACTCAGGGAAACTACTTTCCTCATTTGACTTAGAACAGATCTAACTCCGTTCATTAAAATTGGATACTAATCAATCGACAGTTCCGAATTGGTTCCAGGCACGGGAATGTTCAATAACTAATCTAAGAAAAACTCGAACACTGATCAGAGAATTGGGAGAAAAGGCGGAAAAGGGGAAGTGAACCTGAGCAAGGACTTGTTTGTGCAAATTGGATCCCTGGAAGAAAGCAACAGCTTCAGCTCCACTGATCTTTCCATCGCCGTCCAAATCTGCTCGTCTGAAGTAAGCCTCAAATTGATCCATGTTCGGCCCCGCCATGCCGGCTCACCCGGCAACGATTAGGCGCGAGCTCGGAAAGTGGCGGAGGGGAATTGATAGCAGCGTAGCTTGAGAATGGCGATGGGAGGATGGGAGAGCTTGACTGGTAAGTTCGTCGGGAAATTGAGGAAGCAATTGGTTCGCTGAATCAGGAATCTAACAGCTGCCCGGAATTCAACCTGTTGGGAAGGAAGATGAAGATCTCTTTTTTTTTTTTTTTGTTTAATTCCTTAATCCTTAGTGTGGTTTTTCTTTTTCTTTAAAGAATAGTTTTGTTTTATTTTCTTATCAAAATAAAAAGTATTGTTTTTATTTACTTCCATATCATGGTGTTTTATAGAGAGAGATTGTAATTAACTTTGATAGTTGTAAGAAAAAAAATTAACTTTGATAAATCCTTATTTTGCTACGGTGACATGTCACCGTGATATGGACTTTTCGGTCGACCTAATCCAACATGCGGTCGACCGAATGGAATAATTCATGTATGTGGGGTTCCAAGACGCGGTCGACCTCTTACATAATACGGTCGACCGCTTTGGTGGTCTAACAGAATGAAAGGTCGACCCAAATATCTCATAGGCCGACCCTTGTGCACCTAACAGGTCGACCGCATTATGAAGAGGTCGACCGCCTTCACACCGTATTCGTATTGGATATGGATTCCAACACCACAAAGGTTCCACAATTGGACAAGGAAACGAATTGGGTCGACCCATTGACGTCCTAAATCTCTATAAATACGAATATAAGTCCCCTTCAACGCCTCCAAGTCTGAATTAGGTTTTTTTTTCGATTAAGAGCCTTTGTGAAGAAGATTGTTCGCGGTTGCTGTTGTACGCGTTGGAAGTGGTCGACCAGGTCTAAGGTGAGGTCGACCTAATGTACCATTCGTCGTCTTCTTTTCTAATGCGTGATTTCTACCGGCTAATTTGATATATTGTTGGGTGCAGAATTTCATTCGGTCGACCGTGACGTCAACCAGGTCGACCTGACGAGACAATTCTGCGTATTTGAGTTTAGGCCACAACACTTGTATTTCTGTACTTGCGAGGTAACCCAATTGGTCGACCTAATGGGTTTCAAGGTCGACCGTTCCTGTTTTTTTGGTTATTCAACCTGAATGTCGACTTTGGCTTTGATTGTATGACTATGTTGTGCTTGAAAAGGTCGACTGCGCCAGATATCTGGTCGACCTATCCTTTTTTCGGTTTAATTTTGAACTTACTTTTTGTTGTTAATTGTTATTTTCCTGCTGGATAGGTCGACCTAGGAATAACAGAGGTCGACCTTAATGGTTGTGGTAGTCACTATTTGTCTTCCAGGTCGACCTAATACTATGTCAGGTCGACCACGTATTTGTTTTTTGGTCAATTGTAGAAATTTGTAGTTGAATTATGATTTAAATTTTTCTTGAAACTGTTTAGACAATGACGCATGATGAGAAACTGCATCAAGATTTGGGTGAAATCATGAAATTGTTGAAAGCCACACAAGAGAAGCTGGTGGTGTGTCAAACACAAGTCAATGACTTTCAGAAGTCCATGTGTGATAGAGTGGAGCAATTGTCAGTTCGACTGACAGATATGACTGGGATGATGCATGACGGGTTTGAGAGGCTAGAAGGTGCTATCAAAGATATAAGTGCAGAACGAATGGAGAATGGCGGAAGAAATGGTAAAGGAAAGAAATTTGACTTTGGTAAAGAGGAAGAAGACCATGATGACTCTGAAAATTGCTACCAGAGCATAGACGATTTATTGAAAGAGCACATTTTAAAGGTATCCAAGTATATTCATATGTGATTGAAGATATTAGTATTACTATCATTAGTGCTAATTTGTTTTGATTATATGTTTGACAGAGTGAAACAACGAATGGCAGCAAGGGTTCCTCTCCTAAGTACAAGAGACCGCGATATGAAAGTGACTCCTACACCACTCCACAGAAGGATCAATTTGTAAGAAAAGGATTATTTAGTGATGATAGCGATGAAGAAGAATCTAAGAGTCCTTTCGAAAAGCACGGGGTAAGTTTACGTTACATATTCATCTATAATGTGTGTTTGTGTTCATATGTTACTTTAATTTTAACTATGATTTGTAGGTCATGAAAGTGGAGGGTCTAGAAGGATTCACCGAAAATCTTCAAAATCGAGTTGAAGACTTGTATTATGTTGTTACTAAAGAGAAGGCTGGGGACAAGAATTGGGACAAGTAAGACGTTTTTTAGTACGTGTAGTCGACCGGATCGGTTATGAGGTCGACCGCTTTTCCAATAAGGTCGACCGTGACTGTGAACAGGTCGACCTGTACGTTGCAAATCACAATTGACATTTCTGTTATTTTGATTTTTGCAGTTTGATCGTTGTGGACTTTTTTTCTGAAAACGTGCAACGACATTATTTGAGTTCGGTCATTAGCGAGAATAGCTGGGTTTGCTCATCAGTAAGTACTATACTACTACGACTTTCGTATGAATTGTGCACTATTTATGTTACGATTTATGATGATTTTGTGTTTGATTGTTGGATGGTAGGTAGTGGATTTGTGTGCAAGGGCACTAACAATGTCTGAAAAACATGATGTGAAAGAGCCAAATGTGTGGTATTTGCCAAATATGTTTTCGGTAAGAGCCGTAATGTCAAATTATTTGTCATAACCTAGTTATTTATATTGTACCATGTCAATTCATCTCAACTAAAACATGGTGCAGAAAATGGTACGCGCTAACATGAAGACCAATCAAATTCGTAACAAGTTGATGAATGATGGCGTGGTCTTTATGCCGAATGTCAGTTCATGCCAGAAGGTTAGTCTAGTCAATGTCCCTCTATCATTAAATTTCGAAAGTGCATTTGTTTGTATTCGCTGTTTATAACATATAGTGAGTGTTTCGTTGCTAGATATTTATGCCAGTTCTTGACGATGAAGCACGTCATTGGTTTCTGTATCTCGTCAATGTCCAGCAAAAAACTGCATTTTTGCTTGACAGTCTACCTTCAACTAGTGAGGCGAATCGTAGGCATAAATCAGCACTATGCAAGAAATTGGTAAGTGTTTCCTATAATTTTCTGACTATTAAGCGTCACGTATTATGCTAGAAACTTAAAATATTCATTATTTGTGTGTAGTTGTCCAATTTGGATGATATTTTCAAACCGGAGCGCATGAACAATGTAGGAGTACCAAATTTTGGAGATTTCAATTTTGATGATCTACGAGTTCAACGGCAAAGGAATAGTACTGAGTGTGGTGTGCACGTCATGCAGTGGATGCGCTATGGATCCAAGGATCTTGATAGAGTGGTGAGTATATCGTCAAACAAATAACTTGTTTAATTTACACTTTTTTTAGTTGTAACGAAATCTTACATGGCATAATGCAGATAGGAGAAGAACACAAATTACCGGCTCGAAAGGAGATTCTATGGTATCTGGCTACACATTTTGAAAACCTTGCACGAGAAAATCTTTTCAAGCATGTAGTAGATGAATGCATGGAACGAGGCAAAGAGAGACAGAGTTCAAACAAAAAAGCAAAGAAATGAAGTCGTTAAGTTACAATGTTGCATTATTTGGACCATACATTGAATTTGTATTTGCGAGATCGTTTCATTTTGGATTAGAATGTTTATCGTTTATTAGATTTGTTATACAATTATGGATGTGACTGAATTTACGATTTCAATCGTCTAGAACAAGTGGTCGACCACATACTCAAAGCGGGCATACCCAAAGGCAGAGCACATGTCGACCTCGTGACGCTTAAGGTCGACCTATGATACCGTAGCAAAGTCAAAAACCATGTAGAACATGAATGGAATCTCGTCAGTTTGGCCTTAATAAAATACGGTCGACCATTCGTGTCAAGAGGTCGACCTGTTTCACATTTATAAACAATGGTCGACCATTTCAGTAAAGAGGTCGACCTGTTTCACATTTACCCAAGACGGTCGACCATTTGTGCAAAGAGGTCGACCTTAATGAATCATGTCCTTGTACAATTAGGATTTTGTGTACTTGTCCTTGTCGAATTATGATTTTATATATCTTTCACCAATTGGATAAGGAATCCGTCTACATTATCTATAAATAGATGGGAGTCTGAAGACTTTAATCGTACTTCGATTTATGCAATTTGTTGGAGTGAAGTTGTAATATCACCGCTCTTATTGTGATCGGGTGTTGGTGGCGGTTTATTTTTATTCCGGTAGACCGTAACAATAAGTGGTCGACCTTTTTGCTAAGGTATGTCTCGTATGTGCTTGTTAATGCTTGTATGTGGTTAAATTTTTCCTACCATCCGGTCGACCACCTTCACCATCCGGTCGACCGTGCTTTTGTAATTATATGATTAGGTCGACCTTTCAGTAAATTCTGGTCGACCGCATGTTTGTTATTTAGTAATAAGGTCGACCGTACAGTTCATTCAGGTCGACCTGACGAGCGCTAATTGTGTATGTTTTGACATTAAGTTCGTATTCCGATCGTTTCAGGATGGATAACAGAGATGATACAGATGATAGAGATGATGATGAGGTTAACTTCGATGAGGAACCTAAGGATGCTCAAGAAGGAGCTACGGATAATTCAGATGATACAGATAATACGGATGATGAAGTGGTTGGGGATGATAATGAAACCGAGGGTGCTGAAGAAGAATTTATGGATGATGAAGAAGCTACTGAATATGAACAACAAATTCCTTCCATGGAGTTCCAAACATTAGAAGATGCAGAGAAATTTTACGATTCCTATGCTAAAGCGAAAGGATTTAGCGTTCGACGTAGAGATCTTCGGAGGAATCGTCGAGGAGTAGCAATTGGGAGGACAATGGTATGTTCGAGAGAGGGGACTAGAGATAAGATGCATATAGATAAATAAGGTCGGACTCGACAACATCGTAAGATGACAAGACATTATTGCAAGGCATCGTATACTGTACGCTTTGATCGGAATAAGAAAATGTGGGTTGTTTCTAAGTTTGAGAGGAAGCACTCACATCGTTGTTGCAATGAAGAAGAAACTCAATTCCTTCGGTCTCATCGAAATGTGAGTGAAGGAGACAAGGCTCTGGCGATAGGGATGCGATAGTCAGGAATAAAACAACGCAACATTGTTCAGTTCATGAAGAATAAAGTTGGAGGATATGAGAATCTGGGGTACACTCCAAAGGATTTGGACAATGCTGTTCAGCAATCTCGAACAGTTGACGACGATCTAATATGAGATGTTAACCGAACATTGGGTTACTTGCAAAGTAAACATACCTCTGATGCAGGCAGCTTCTTCAAGTACACAACCAACGATGAAGGTGAATTAGGCAATCTCTTCTGGTCGGACTCCACATCTAGAGCAGATTACCATTTTTTTGGGGATGTCTTGGCGTTCGATGCATGCTACAAGCGCAACAAGTACAATCGACCATTTGTTATGATGGTTGGTGTAAATCACCACCACCGTAACATCATATATGGTTTTGCCCAGTTGGATAACGAGACAATCCCCAACTATGTTTGGTTGTTGAATACTTTTCTGGAGTGTATGAACTCTAAGATGCCCACTTCAGTGATCACAGACGGAGACAAGTCTATGCGTGGTGCCATTGCTACTGTTCTGGTTGGAGTGCCTCACCGTCTTTGTATTTGGCATATTGAGACAAATGCGACAACGGCCGTTCATAATAAGGAGTTCGTTAGCGCATTCACTTACTTGGCGAAAGCACGAATATCGATTGAGGAGTTTGAGAGGCGTTGGGAGCATTTGATTAGTCAGCATGGTTTGTCTGCAAATAAGTGGTTGCAGAATTTGTACGCTGACAAATTACTGTGGGCAGAGGCATACTTGAAGGATATTTATTTCGGTGGACTCCAATCAACCTCGCGATGTGAGTCATGTAACCATTTGATAAATGGGTATGTGGGAACTCAATACAGCTTGCAACGTTTTGTTCAGGGCATTGATGAAGCACTGGAGGGGATGCGTTTCACGGAGGTGCAAGATGATTATACTTCTAGGCACACGAGGTTGGTCTGCAAGCATGCCCTTCGCACTTGGAAAATGCAAGTTGAAAGTATCTACACTCATCGTACATTTGCTATCTTCAAGTCTGAACTAGAGAATGAAGCTTCTTATGTATTAGCGGAGAGAAGAACTGAATCAGATGGGACAGAGACATTCATACTAAAGAACTACATGAACCCAGATCGGATAAGGCGGTTAACATTTACTACGTCCAATCAAGATCTAAAATGCGAGTGTGCATTATTTGAATCTAAGGGGTTTCCATGCAGACACATGCTTACAGTAATTAAAAATATGGGATACACCACACTACCCTCGTCGTGGTTCAAGCTACGATGGACCCAAAATGCGAAGACACTAAATCGTCATCCTGGAGTTGGAGGTGATGTGGGAGAGAAAGTTGGTCGACTGATAAGACATGGAGGATTGGCTCTAAAGTGTAAGCGTTTATGTGACATCGCGTGTGGTAGTGAATATGCTTTTAATCATGTCTCTAAGACGTTGGACGACCTAACTCAATGGGCAATTGAGTTCGCGAGGGAGAGAACGGACAACACCACACCAGCAAACCCTCCAGCACCCCTTCGAAGTGTGAAAGATCCAAAAATTGGGAAGACCAAGGGGACATTCAAGTCAGCACGAACTGCATCGGGCAAAAGTTTAAGAAAGTGTTCGAAATGTGGGAAATATGGTCATTTTTGCCCTAAGTGCCCGAAACAAAGTCCCAAAAAAGGATCTTAAATTTCTTCTATTGTTTTTTAGGAGTTTATTTATTTTTTTAATAACTGTGATTACATTGTATTTTCTTCGAATTATCTTAATAATTTATGAGTTAATTGATTGTTGGTTGAAATAAACAATAGCAATAAACGGTCGACCTCATACAAATTTCGGTCGACCTGACCATACACGGTCGACCGAACAAGTTAGTGCGGTCGACCGCGTATTTAATTCGGCCGACCAAACCGGTTTGTTTGCAACATCCACCCAAACCTCCCACAATCCTCTATTTAAGGAACCCTCTCCCACTCATTCTACACCACAATCAGAACCCTATCCCACCACATCCACCGATTCTTCCTCTCCTTTCCCTTCTTCATCTTCTTCTCCATTTTCCAAAAACTCCATTTTCCAAAAACTCAAAGAAAGCTTCATCCTCATCACTTAGAAGAAGAACAAGGTATAGCTTTCACTCCTCTGTTTCATTTGAATAGATTCTTGTCTTCTTCTTTTTGTTTTCAAAAAATCTAAAGATGTAAAAGAGGGATTTTTCCTTCTGCTCGTCAGAAGCGGTCGACCTGTTCATCATCGTGGTCGACCGCAACTGGCTTTTAATCTATTTTATTTCTGTTTTATGGACTGAGGTCGACCTATGATGATATTGAGGTCGACCAGTGAAGTTCGAGTTGAGATTTCTGGCCTTATTATTTAGATATGTAGCTTGAAAATATGGACTTTGTCCTTCTGTTCGCCAGATGCGGTCGACCTTTTCATAATCATGGTCGACCGCATCTGGCCTTAAATCGATTTTTATTTCTGTTTTATGGACTGAGGTCGACCTATGATGATATTGAGGTCGACCTGTGAAGTTCGAGTTGAGATTTCTGGCCTTATTATTTAGATCTATAGCTTGAAAATATGGACTTTTTCCTTCTGTTCGCCAGTTGCGGTTGACCTTTTCATAATCATGGTCGACCGCATCTGGCTTTCAAGCGATCTTATTTCTGTTTTATTTGTGCGAAACTAACACTGGTCGACCGCTTCTATTTATGAGGTCGACCGAATCTGTTTTGCACTCAATTGATACGAGCATTTGGGCCATTTCTTTTGTTTTAATTTAGCCGAGGTCGACCTATGATGCTTCTGAGGTCGACCTATGAAGGCAAAAGTTCGATTTGTGCCTTTGTCTTTGAATTATTTGTGCAAAACTAACACTGGTCGACCTCTTCTATTTATGAGGTCGACCGAATCTGTTTTGCACTCAATTGTTACGAGCATTTGGGCCATTTCTTTTCGTTTTAATTTAGCCGAGGTCGACCTATGAAGGCAAAAGTTCGAGTTGTGCCTTTGTCTTTGAATTATTTGTGCAAAACTAAAACTGGTCGACCTCTTCTATTTATGAGGTCGACCGAATCTGTTTTGCACTCAATTGATACGAGCATTTGGGCCATTTCTTTTGTTTTAATTTAGCCGAGGTCGACCTATGATGCTTCTGAGGTCGACCTATGAAGGCAAAAGTTCGATTTATTTGTGCTATTGTCTTTGAATTATTTGTGCAAAACTAACACTAGTCGACCTCTTCTATTTATGAGGTCGACCGGATCTGTTTTGCACTCAATTGCTACGAGCATTTGGGCCATTTCTTTTCGTTTTAATTTAGCCGAGGTCGACCTATGATGCTTCTGAGGTCGACCTATGAAGGCAAAAGTTCGATTTATTTGTGCTATTGTCTTTGAATTATTTGTGCAAAACTAACACTGGTCGACCTCTTCTATTTATGAGGTCGACCAGATCTGTTTTGCACTCAATTGCTACGAGCATTTGGGCCATTTCTTTTCGTTTTAATTTAGCCGAGGTCGACCTATGATGCTTCTGAGGTCGACCTATGAAGGCAAAAGTTCGATTTATTTGTGCTAAACTTATTGAGGTCGACCTGTGATGATATTGAGGTCGACCTCGGGCCATTTAAATCGATTGAAAGCCAATTGTGACTTTCAGAAGGAGTGCAGTGCAGGACATTAGGCCACCTTGCATAGCAAGGTGGTCTAATGTCCTGAACTGCACTCCTACTGAAAGTCACAATTGCCTTTCAATTGATTTAAATTTTCCGAGGTCGACCTATGTTTTTTCTGAGGTCGACCTATGATTTTCAATCGATTTAAATTTTGTACTTGAATTGTTACGGGTTTATTCGACCCATTCTCGTTTTAAATTAACTGAGGTCGACCTATGATTCTTCTGAGGTCGACCTATTCTCGTTTTAAATTAACTGAGGTCGACCGCTTTATGGAGTGGTCGACCACATATTGTTCAATTCGAAAATGTGACTAACGTGTATTCTTGCTTGTTTAATAAGAAAAGAAAGTCACAAAAAACTGCTGCCTCAAGTTCGGAATGGGAAGAGTTCAATCCCAAACTGTTCCAGACCAAGGATCAAAGTGACAACTATGAAGAGAAGAGAATGCATAACCGCAGGGTGGCTCCTGGAAGGCCATTGACGACGGATGCGTATTCTCATTTCGAGAATTACGGGTTTCTGGGACCCTTCATCGAGCAAGAGTGGCTGAAGGTGATATCTCTCAATGTACCATACTACCCAAAACTGGTACAGTACTTCTACAACAACATCGTCTACGAGCGCAATGCAAATGGATCCATTCACGCATTCAAATCCTATGTGAATGGGGTGGCGATGCGCATCAGCAAGAATGTGTTGGCGCAAGTACTTGAGGCTCCAAACGAGGGGAAGAGAATCAATTCTTACGGTGCTTGGAATGAAACGCATTTCACGAGAGCCAAGCAAATCCAGACGGTATGTGGTCTTGATGAAGAGGAAGATGCTCAGGGGCGCAATAGGCCAACGTGTAACCACCTGACAGCTCAAGCCAGAGTTCTTCACCACATGCTTTCCTACAACATTCTGCCAAAGGGTGGACATCGGGAGACAGTCACCTACTTCGACATGGAGCTCCTCACCAACCTACTGTTAAGCGAGAAGGTGAACTTGCCATACTTGATCTTTAACCACATGCTTACTGCTGCAGAGAGTTCAAACAGGAATCTTCCCTATGGGATGATCCTCACTGTGCTATTTGAGCATTTTAATGTGAATTTAAGTGAAGAGGTGGGGTTAAGAATCTCAAGGCATGAGTTCTATACTGTTTCATCTCTGAAAAAGATGGGCTTTGAGCTGCGTAATTGTGAGTATGTCAGAGTAAACAATGCTCATGGTGGTGATGATGATGATGATGATGATGATGATGAGGGTGATGAAGGAGCTCGAGACGAGCCAATGGCGGAGGCACAGAGTTCAACTCCACCGATCACCTTACAGCGTGTGTGGGAGCGCATGGATGGCATGTACGAGTACATGGGCCAGATGTCCACCCAGATGTCTGGCATGCACGACTACATGGGGCAAATGACCGCCCAGATGAGCACAATGCAGGTGACCGTGAATGAGATGCGAGATTAATGGCGATCTTTTAGCGGAAGATACATGCATCCCACCACATCCGACCACCATCATCCTAGCACCACCAATGAAGAAAATGTGGATGAGAGAGAGGGGGGGAGATGAGTAGGAGAAATGAGTTTTTATATTGTGTGTTGTAGTGGTCAAAACGATTGTTGAGTGTTATTCTGTTGTTTTTTTAGTTTTATTTTTATGTGTGAACAATTATGATTTCTGTTTTATTTTTAGTTGTTATGCTATGAATTGATGAGTCCTTGTTATAATTATTTATGACTAATTATGATGGTCTGAAACATAATTTATACGATTAAAAGAACCACACAAATTGACATACATAAGCAAAAAAGACACGGGGCATAGGGTGACTTTCTTGTATTCGGTCGACCTCGTACCGGATTAGGTCGACCGCGAAACCAACACTTGATCTTGATTTTACGTCAAATAATTGGACACTTTGATATAACACTTATCTTCTATCTGGTAGACCTCTTTCCTCATCTGGTCGACCATTTTGTTAATGACTGCCATCAAGTGGTCGACCTATATACCTTAGGTGGTCGACCATGTTGTTTCTGGTGCCAACGAAATGGCCGACCCAGGTTTTATTCTGGTCGACCAAAAATAACAACTTAAACTAAGTGCGGTAGACCAGGTGGTCGTTGAGGTCGACCGCAATGCTTTCTCGTGCTGCCCAAATTAGTCGATTCGGTCGACCGCCTTCAGCAATAGGTCGACCGAAAAGTGCATGTCACCGTGACATGCATGTCATAGTAGGCATACCCAAAAACTAATATTAACTTTTTTTTTTAACGGGAGAGGCGTCTTAAAGATTGAATGGCTAAACCTCGCCCTAACTTCCTTTATCGTCCTAACTTAATACATAAAATTACTAAACTAACCTTTAATTAACAAAAGGAAAAACAACAAAACAAACGACACTGCAATTTCTTCATCTTCTTTGTCACCGTAACTTTACCTTTAATAATCCTCCATCATCTTCATCCCCCCAGCCTTCTTCGGATATGGGATGTTGCTTCCGGAGGCGTCTTGACCAGCTAACACAGTGAAACCAAGGAGAAACCCAGCAATAGAAACATTTAAAATCAACTGTGCAAGGAACAAATTCTCACTTGCAGCATTGCCGAGCCTCCCAACTAAAACATCCCCCTAGGCTTGTTTGAAATCAACGCAGAAAACAAAGGAGATTGCTCTACTCTAGTCAAGATCGCCACGCCGGCGGTGACTTGTCGGTCAACTGCGCAAGGAAACAAATTTGGCCACTTGCTGCTGCATCACCGAGCCGGCCAACTTAATTAAGAGGAAGGTGATTGAACATTGGATTCCATCTAGCCAACTTAATTAAGAGGAAGGTGATTGGACATTGGATTTGATTTTTATAATATAAAATTAAATTCAGAAATAGAAAAGGAAAAGGATAAAGAAGTGATTGTCAGTCTAAATTTAGGGCGATTACAAAAAAACTAGGGCGACAATTAGCAACCCCTAAAGATTGAATGACTAAAGATTTAAAGATCGTCACAACCTTCATGATTGTTAATTTTGTTTTTTCCCCAAGTAATCTACAAAAATTATAATAGCAAAACATGGGTCAGATTTTCAGGATTTAAAAAATGCAGCAACCAGAGGGTTTCCCGGAAGGGCAAACCTGTCATTTCCAACCAATTTAATGAAGCTCTGCGTTTTGCTTCAAACCGCCCCGCTGGACAACTTAGACCGCTGAATGGGCCTAACAAAGGCGGCCCAATTCAGGGCGACGCATATACGGCCCCAAACACCGACGCATATAATATAATCTCCTCTCCGCTAATCTTTTTCTGTTTTTTGTCTCCATCAAGTTGGGTCTAAATTGATCAATTCGTGTGCGGCAAGCGGTATGATTTTTTGTTTTTCTGAATGTGCGCCATGACTAGAGATGTCTATAATCTATACACAATTGGGGGTTCCGTATTGTTCAAGTTGCCAAAGACACAATTGGGTAACCCAGAATCCACATAATCCATAATTTAAATTACATGTATTGTGGCTTTGTGTGATTGGGAACCATTATGGATATAATTTAGTCAAGCATGTACTGTTACGTTCTACCCTTATCAAGGATGTTAAATAAGCCATTAAGTCTGTTTGACAAGTGCTTTAAGGTTTTAAGGTCAATCGAGTTCGCTTAGTTTAAGTCGGTTTTAACATAATATGTGAGAAAACCTCTAATATCAAATAGATTATACATATATTTGACATATTTGAAAACAACTTCAATAATCTATATTCATATATTACCAAATTAATTCTTATATATATATGGTGACTTCTACGGTGCCCAGGGCAAAATCCGGGGTACGGGTACCTTGGCCGATCTTAACCATTCATTCTCAATCTCCACGGCTCATGTTTGTTGAACCTAACTGCGCCACTAAATAACTAAACAAATTACAAAAAGCCTCCTTACGCATTAAGATTGTTTTCATCCTAGTCCAACTAACTGCCCCGATTAAATTAAATGGATTAAGACTGCAAACCCAATTGGGTAGACCCACTGCCGCCCTAACCAATTTCCAGTCTGCCTAACCAATTACACGATCCCTCTCTCGTCTACGAGGGACGCCCCTTCACGGTTCCAAGAGAAGCTCCCCATCCAATTTGAACTCTCCAACTTAATCATCTTTTTGAATCCCAATTCCTTGTTTGTTCTTCGCCATTTTATTTCCCCTCGCCTATCTCTTTCTAACACGATTACGGCGACCATGTCTATTATTGTGTTCATCAAACTTTTCATTTTGCTAACCCTAGGGTTCATGTCGCTAGTGCTTTGTCATCTTGTCTTACCGTTATTGTCATTTTCTCGAAACTTCTATCACTCAATGAAATTAAGGTTTTCTGATATGTAGTGTTCGTCTCGCCCAATGCTGTCAAAAGCGTGATTCTACCTAAAAGAGAAAAGGGGTAAAATCGAAAAGCGGTGAAGCAAAGCGTAAAAGCGTAAGTTTTTTTATGCATCCTGTATAATAGTTAAAAATCTGTTAAGTATGACATAAACTATGTAAATATAAGTGCACAAAGTTTAGATAAAAAGAATAAATACCTTCAATTCATGTCTAAATTAGAATAAACTCATAATATCTTAACAATAACTTCATAAATATAAATCATAACCTGCATACGAGTTAAAAATACAAATTCTCACAACTAGTTTAAGTTTACATAATAACATACGAGTTTAATAATCCAAGTTCTCAAAATCAAAGCACACAAATGTTATAAAGGATAGAAGGAAAACTACATCAATTCATCGGTTTCTATAATCTCCCATCATCAAAAGTTGTCATCCTTTTTCATATTATGAAAACTCAGCCATTGATTTGAGAAAGTTAGATCGATGTAGGATCCAAGATGGAAACGAAGAGAAACCCCATTTCATTTAGCTTATACAAATTCGGAAAACAAAGAACCAAAGCTCCAATAAAAAAAAGTATGAAAAAGCAAGGAATGGATCAGAACATTGGCTTGAATATCTCCATAGGAGATACATTTCGGACAGTATAATCAATTTAGATCATCTAGGAAAAGTATCATCACATCCACAACGAAACACAACTACTCAAATTGATCCAAAATTTAGAAATCATCAAAAAGGGGGTTGGAGTGAAAACCATCATAAACCTAAAAAAGATTCCACAGAAGCAACATTGAAGCTGTTTTACGGTCTGCAACTCCGCATCATGGTTAGGGCACGATTTGGCCGCCCGCATCACCTGGTGGAGCAACATTGAAGCTGCTGTACGATCTGTACAATCCGACATTGGTGAAGTGGTGACGGGCTAGGACAAGGAAGAGAAGGAAACTAACCTGTTGTGGCACCGATGAGTTGCGATAGGCAAAGACGAGTGCGACGGGTGCTGCCGCGTTGGAGGCTTGGAGGAGCTATCGAGTGCGACGACTAGAGCTTTGCTGACAAACTGGCGGCGACGGTTGTGGAGCCTTGTATCAGCTTCGAATTCTTCACTGGAGTTTGGAAGGCCTGCATCGCGATGGCGGCGACATGCAATGATAAGTGCAGAGGGCGGGGCCTACCTCGTTGGAGTGCATGAGATAGGCGACGAACGATTAGGGATTGTGGAAGATCTCAGGCCAATATCCACCCCATTCCCTTTTTTTTTTGTCCGAAGTGATTGAAACGACGCCCTTTTGGTTTGGTGGAGACAGTTTTCTCCTTTGCTTGGAATCGGGTAAAATCGATGTGAAAACACGTTTTATCCTATTTCAACGATTTTAACGATTCTACTAACGCTTTTGACAGATTTTGAGTGAAAACCGATTTTATTAGTGATTTGAAACGTTTTCCTACCCTAGAAACGTAAAATCGTACATTTTTACGGTTTAAAGCGCGATTTTGACTACACTGGTCTCGCCTAGAGGATTGAGGAAGGAGATGAAGAAGACAGAATTTGATTCGAATCGGATGTAGAGGTCTTCTTAATTTGTGTTTATGTATTAACGGTGCGTTTAGGACTAATTCTAGTTGGATTGGGTCTGATCATTGATTTTTGCAGGCTTTTAAATAACATTCAAAAGTGGGCTTGTACATGATCCATGCAATATTCAAGTGGGCATGGACTGTGCGAGCCCATTTCATTTCTCCTGCCGTATCAATTCGTGCGCCAACCCTAGTTTAACTAGCATGACTTACCCTAGTTTAACCTACATGAGTTACCATTATCATTACATATCTTCCGTAATCTTCTAACTCTTGACATCCCAGACTCAACCGTCTCCATCACACTCACGTCTCCAGACTCAACCCCCACGATCACTTTTTCTTACACCTACATTCTCTCTCTCCTCCATCTTCACCTTCCCCTTGTTCCTTCTTCCTCCAGACTCCATGGCAAAGAAAAGTAGATCATTTGCGGAAATGGGGATACTATCTCTATCAAACGAAGATTGTCGATCCACTGCCAGTCTCGGTGACTATCTTTCATTTACAAGCAAAACTGCCATTGTCGCCGAGTACGAGTTCATCCACCTAAGTCCTTTCCCTACAGAAGTGAAGACGTTAATAAAAAATCTTGGCTGGGAAAATTTCTTTGTTCTCCGGAGTCGAGGAAGCACAAGTTACTGCCCCCATGTGGTGAGGAAGTTTTACCACAATCTACAGCTTTCTGGTCCCTGTGATTCTCATCTGGTGTCAATCTTCCTCGGACATAGAGTCTGCTTTCAGCCTCATCAATTTGCTGAGATCCTTGATCTTCCTGCTGAAGGACACCCCATTGATAGCATAAGTGATCTTGGGCGGCTATATGATTTTGAGTTTGAAGTTGAACTGGCGAAACTCACGAAGGGGCACATCTAGGCTTCTTTCCTCCTAGATCCTCTTCGATTCCTCCACCAGTTGATTGTCAACTGCTTCCTTCCAAGATACCGTGGTCATTCCATTATTCGTAAACTTGACTTGTTTATCCTTGTGCAAGCTCAAAGAGGTGTTCCTGTTAACCTCGCATCTCTAATGTGCTTGAACATGGTCGAAGCTGCTCCCAAAGGGAAAAACTGGTATACTGCCTTTCCCTATGCCACCTTCGTCACCACCTTTCTTGAAAGGGTTGGGATGGATCTGAGCGTTTATGTTAAGGAGGACCAGTGCGCTTATTTGCCAGTGTACCGTATAGCCGAATTGACCAATACTTTTATTGAGAATCGGCATACGGAGCATCAAGAGACCCCTGAGGCCTCCTCAAGCAAACGTCCTCGGCTTACATGAGAGTCGATTGATGCAGGGCGGGGTGGAGCGTTGGAGCAGCTAAGGGGCCAGCAATGGATGTCTTCTGTTAACAAGTTTACTAAGTCGTTGTTGGGTTTTTTTTTCCAGTCTTTTGTATTTTCCTTTATTCTCCGGCACTCAAAACTGTCAGGTACTGAGGGGAGCCAGTACATCATCTGAATAAGAAAGTCTCCTATTTTGATTTCTGAAATGTCCATACCTGGATTTTTCTATGCATGTAGTATTTTTTGAATTTGCCATGGCTAGGATCCCTAAGACAGGTGACGAGATACAGTAATGGTCATCTCCAATGGTGCAATTTTTGTGACTTGCAAGATGATGTGGCAAGGAGGTGCAATTGCATCTTTAAATTGCTACGATGTGAGAAGCTATTGCAAGGGTGCAAATTTGCATAATGTGCAATTCTTCTTGCAATTCAAATGGACCCGCTGGTGGGCTCTTTTTTACTCTTTTTTAAAGAATTTAGATGATGGAGATGATATATAAATTGTTTAGTAGTGGTAAATTAATATGTTGATCCCACTCATTGAAATTGCATTTGGATTTCATTGTTGTAGAGAGGATGAAGTTGAGAAGTGGTGTTTTCTCAAAATTATAGAAGTGGAAGTAGGGACTACCTATGAAATTGCAAATGAATTTCATTGGGGGAGATTTTAATCCGCTTTTGTTCTAAGCAGTTCCAATTAGGTCGAAGAATGTGTTACTTATTTCATCTTCAATTTTTAATGGTTTTCGAAAATTATGGTTTTATTTATATTTGGTCACAAGTATAGTGATGATGATAGGCGTGAATAGTATGGATTTTAAATGGCTTGATTATAATAATTTTTTATCTATGGTGATTTTTTTCCCTTTTTCATCAAGACTCATGCTTCTTTTATTCCCCTGGTGAATCTATCATGCCTCGTTTATAGTAAAATACCCTTTTAATTATACACAATAAAGAATCCATTAATTATGTAAGCCTTTTTATTATATTTATTAATACAATGAATTCTCTCACTAAAAGGGGAGTGCATACATCGTTGGTGGAAATTCAAGGAATGGAAGCCTTTCCATATCCTAGGAACATTAAATTAATTACCTAAGAATCTTTTTGTGAATACGCCCACAGGTGGCGTACAAAAGCTGTAGATGTTCAACCTCCTCTATCAGAGAAAGAAATGGTGTCAATCTTCTTCGACACACTCAAGCCTCCCTACTACAACAATGTGGTAGGGATTACCACGACTAACTTTGCTGATCTGTTGATAATCGGAGAAAGGATAGAAAAAGGGATTAAGCAAGGCAAGATGGAAATATCAGAAGGCTTTGTGAGGCTAAGCCAGAACAAGAGAAAGGAAGAAGAGATGTATTCAACCTATAGAGAAACAAAAGAGAAAACACGGAAAGTAAATTCTCAAAAGAATCAAGCTCTCCCATATGTTGCAACTACCACACCAATATTGCAACCTCCGAACTTCATGAAATCAATAATCCAAAATCCAACACCGATACCACGACAAGGTGTTAATCGAGATGTTAGTATCCCAAGGAAAGCAAAAAGGGGATTTGACCCTATCTCGGTCACATATACTGAACTCTTTCCTCGATTACTCCATGATCGTCTAATCACTCCTATTCCGGGCGAGACTCTGCAACCTTCATTTTCAAGGTGGTATAGGCTCGATAAGCATTGCGATTACCATTCCGGAGTCCAAGGACATTCAGTGGAAAATTGCAACGCTCTCGATAAGGGTTCAAGACATGGTGAACGCCGGATGGTTGAAGTTTGAATAAGAGGAGATCGTTTACACGTCAATAACAACCCGTTGCAGACTCGTGGAAGTCAATAAGCACAACCCCAAATAAATATCGAGATAGTTCGCCACGATAAAGATGTATCACCTTTTGCTTTCATCATAAGAAATAAAAGGTTACTCAGGTTTCGACCTTCTCGGAGCATTTTGTGATCATTATCAATCTCGATTTCGGATTTTGCATCAATGGTCCCTATCTTTCCAAGTGATAAAAGTCTATTTCACGGATTTTTACCTAAATTTTCTAAAACAAATCATAAATCAATGTCATGTGTTCAAGTTAAGCCATGGGATTATCATACCAAACAACTATGAGCACCCTACTGGTGTTGAGAGATTACGAACACCCTACTGGTGTTAGAAATTTTGAACATCCCACTCTTGATGAGAGTACAAAAAGCCAACTTATGTTGAGAGTATAAACATCCCACTGGTGTTTGTAAATTATGCGAGATAATAGTCAAGGGATGTAAAGGGGATATGACATCAGGCTATTTTAAGAATCTTGTCACATTTAGCCAAATCTCGTCACCAAAATAATGTTTGAAAAACTATTCAATTAGCCCAGCCATCAAGAGAGACACTCATGTTGTCGGCCATCAAGACAAAGCATAACATTTTGGTGCTTGTGCTCAGTGGAAGAATTAGTGAAATCCATAGAGGGCATTACGAAGTCAAGCAAGTCCCACAAACGTGAAAATTTCAAAAGGGAAACAACAACAAAAAAAAACATTGTGGGACTTACCATTTGCCCCTTTCTATGTTATTTGGAGTCAAACCATTTGCAAAAAGTCAAGATATATGCCAACCAATATCCAAAAAGAAACAAGGAAGAAGCTCAAACAAAAGCTTACGTGATAAGAAAACTCATGCAGTCACTACCACTACACAAAAAGAACTCCTCAGCATACCATTTTGGGTTGAAGCAAGAGTTCATTTGCTTCCTACTCATTCTTGCCTCTCAAAACCAATATTTCAAGAGAAGGGGGCAATACAAGCTATAGATACACTCTCTGGAAACCACCAATATTTCCAAGAAAAAGGAAGACTTCCTCGATGAGAGAACCTACAAACTTTATACGAATCTAATATTTCCATCAATTAGCCACATTGTGTTGGGGGGCAAGCCAAAAATTCCCTGACAAATGTCTTCATATGGCTAAAATGTCTCAAAGATCTTCCTTGCATCAGTGTCTCGACCCTGCGTTACAAGAAAATATAATTTCAGGACGAAAAGATCCTCACGATCGAAGGCAGAATCAACCAACAACCTCCTTCCATGAAAAATCATATACCTCCATGACAAGACAGTATGAAAATCATCTAAATCAATCACACAAAGCTCTCATCCGATCGTCAACATGGACAGAGTCATCTCATAGTGACAGGAATCTTGATGGTAGCTGAAGTGTCGTAAACTTAAAAAGTTCCATAGGGATGAGTGAAAGCAAAATAAAGGTTAAGGAAGAGAGAGAGATTATGGATATTCTCATGGCTCGATTTGCACTCTTCTTGAAACAAAAATTATTTTGAGCATTATGAAAACAAAGTTTGTGGCATAAGTCACACAAGAAAATGTATTTGCTCAATTTGCACACACTTCCCTAAACAAAGAGCTTCATTATCTAAAAATGAGTTTTCACTTTGTTATTTCAACAAAGTTCTTTTCAGACGTTGTTGCATTCATCCCAAGTCGAGGATGATAAAAATCACTCTTTGTTCCAGAAGATGGAGAATGAATAACATATCCTTGGGGGCAAAATGGGGGCAATTTAGAAAAAAGTTCAAGGTACTAAGTAGCTAGACTACTTAACTTGTCAACTCCCCTATTTATGAAGAAATTTTGGAGAACTCGAAGACACTCAAGTTCCATGGGACCAGCTGGTCAACTAAACTATTCTCCAATGACATACTTGCAAGAAGAAGCACAATATACTCTGTCACTAAGGAATACACAACTCCATAGAAGTCCGTGCGACCTACCTAGGGCAGAAAGAAGGAAAAGAATACCATCTCAAGACTCCCTGTATCTCATATTGGATCAATCAAAAGAATAATTCGAAAAGCCAATCCTGACAAGACATACCTCAAGATGATAGATCTTCATAACCAAGCAAAATATCGGTTACATCGCCACAAATACCACCAAGGGCAAGACCCCTGGTCGAGCGGATTATTCCAAACCCTAAGCCTAAAAGGTTGGGTTTCCCATTCAACATGTATCAAAGCAACAAATTACCCAATATCCCTACCCCTGCACCACAGGGGCGGATACTCAAAAGCTTGCACTATCGAGTTTCGAGCTCAACTAAGGATCAAGTCTTCCAAAGTCGATGACAAAATTCCTGGTGGTTGATCGATTTTAAGAAACCCAAGACCAACAACAAAAACAATGTATTTTTCGTATAACATTCATACACATCATCATGATACATCATACTATCATTTCTGAAAACATGTCCATCTTTACTTTAGACATGCATTGAGCGTCTCATAAGAACCTCATAAATTGTCTGCTTCAACTTTCAAAGTTTACCAAGATCCCAGAAAATATCGCATCTAATTTCATACTAGAAACCCCCATTCCCGCGTTGGCGAACGCTATATAAATACGTCCCCGCGTTGGCAAACGCTATAGAAAAAACGTCTCCGCGTTGGCAAATGCTATATAAACACTGTCCCGCGTTGGCGAACACTATATAAACACGTTCTCGCGTTGGCGAGCGCTATATAAATACGTTCCCGCGTTGGCGAATGCTATATAAACACGTCCCCGCATTGGTGAGCGCTATATAAATACGTCCCCGCGTTGGCGAGCGCTATATAAATACATTCCCTCGTTGGCAAATGCTATAGAAAAACGTCTCTGCGTTGACAAACGCTATATAAAAATGTAATTCTCCGCGTTGGCGAGCTCTATCAAAACACGTTCTTGCGTTGTCGAATGCTATAGAAATGCATTCCCGCGTTGGCAAACGCTATATAAAAATGTTCTCGCATTGACGAATGCTAACAAAAACGTAAATTCTTCTCGTTGGCGAACGCTATATGAACACGTCCTCGCGTTGGCGAATGCTATAGAAATACGTTCCCGCATTGGCAAACGCTATATAAAAATGTTCTCGTGTTGACGAACGCTAACAAAAACTATAAGTTTCTCGCGTTGGCAAACGCTATATAAAAATGCAATTTCACCCATTGGCAAATAAAATGCAAAAACGTAAAGCTCGCGTTAGCAAACGCTATAGAAAAATGTGAAATCGTCGCAATTAGCATTCACGATGCAATCACAAACATATACTTGTAATTCCAATGACCTTCAAGCCTGACTTTTCGTGTTACGATACAATTATCAGGAGAGTCTACAAAATGTGGTGTCTTATCAAGAACTTTGTATAACTATTTATACAAAGAGATATACAAAGGGGGGCAACTGTTGACACCACATTTTGTCTGGATCGATACTTATTGTCACTTTTAAACTTATGAAGCTATCTCCCAGCAGTTGAATAAGGATTGTTCATGTTATACGAGAATACGATCTTTGATTCAAGTTTTATACAAGATGAAGCATTCAAGGTCAACGCACAAAAGAGTTGTATGCATGAGGAAAGTACAAGATCGTATTATTGAAGAATTCAAAGGCCGGTACAGTCATCGACGCCATTACAAAAGTTTGTACACTCCTAATCAGTCAACTGAGTTTACAAATACAAGGCTGGGAAGTAAAAGTCCAATACACTTGAAAAGCCCACACCAGCAGCCTACAAAACAAAGAAAAGGGATCAGCTAATTCAGGCCCAAATACGTATGTAAAGCTCAAGTAAAGACATCAAGTCCAAGAATCATAAAACCAGGCCCGCGAATTGAGCCCAAGTTGTCTTAGAAGCCCAGGGGACCAAATTCAGATGCTGGTTTGGCCCAACTCGGCCCAAAGCAACAAAGCAAAGAGCCAATCTTATTTACCCCTGACCAGTCAGAAGTCAGAACCAACCAAGCAAGGTGGAGGTCTCACAATTGGCCTCAAAACTCTACCAATAAGAAAGAAGCACGCTAGTTTCAGCCTCAGCAACAAGAAATGATCATGTGACACGTGGCATATACTTTCGATATTAAATAAGCTCTCTGGGCTCTTGTTTAGGAGGGGGTGGAGTCGCTGCAGAGAAGGGGGATCTACCATAAACACTTTCTTCTTTACACTCATTATTGTAGTTCAGTTCACAAATTGAGGGGAAAAGGTCACACACATAGATCCGACCATTTTCAGTGTGGAAATTTGCATAAAGCAGAAAGTGGGCAGTATACAGATTTGCAAGGAGCCGTTTTGGCCAAGGAATCGAATCAGGTTTGCTCTTGCAACACAGTTCCTTTCTCAATAACATTTCATTTAATTCAAGCCTCCTTATTACCATGCCTTTGTGCTAGTTAATCCACCTATTCATTTCTATTGAAGTGATTATGTTTAAGCACTAGTATTGAGTTTGTAACATGCTAACTACTTATATGGAGTTAGCAACATGTAACAACTCGTATTGATTTTTTTTTCTATCCTTTACATAGTCAGATTTCATTTAATTTTAGTTACTTACTTTCCATCTAATAACTAAGTCATACGACGGTACTCTTAAGACTATTTGCTCTAAGTGGAGTAGTTCAATCGCTTTTTTAGTTATAAATCTACCATTTGTGATTGTTTTTTATCATGTTTTGCAAAAAAAAGGTGGCATGTACCAAACACCATATAGGCATATACACAGAGAAGTTATAGATCCAGCAAACCATAACCACCAAACTAACATAGTCAAGAAAATACTATAATAAAACCCAATCAGTAAAATACAACCAAATCAACAAAGTTGCATAAAAACTTTTTTAAACTTTATTTTAGTTTAGCCAATCGCAAGCAGTAGCGGCGAGGATCAAGGGCCAGATTTTGGTATTTTTAAGTTGTTTTGATTTTTAGATAAATTTTGTTA